CCCCTCCCGTCCCTTAGTTAGTCTACTCTTTTTACGCCGTACCACAGATATGGCAGGTACAGAAATTTGATTAACAATTCTAACGATATTATTACAGGTTCGGTTGAAGCAAGAAAGTAACCTCCTTGGTTGCAATATTCTGTCTTTCTATGCTTAACAGCATAGGCATCTCAACAACACAGGTTGAGCTGATCATTGGTAAAATAGTTTTGAGCGTGTTAACTTGCAACAGAATTTCCCAAATACAACGAAATACATGTACTATGATTAGAATTATTTAACATATTTGTGTGCTTGGATATACTTAAACGGAAGTTTTTGAGGAAATAACTGATTTTTTGGTGCGGGGCGAAATCACTGAAGGGGGGGGCGAGGTAGGGGAACCAAATCACTAGCGGGGAGGGCGAAATCGCTAGAGATCTCGACCCGGGAGGGCGAAATCGCTAGAGATCTCGACCCGGGAGGGCGAAATCGCTAGAGATCTGGGCCCGGGGAGGACAAAATCGCTAGGGATTTCGCCCCGGGGAGGGCGAAATCACTGGGGGGCGAGATCGCGGTGACACCGGTCGTGCTGCACTGCACAGTAGGCAGTGCAAATGGCTACCCGCAAAACCAACATACTCTACCAACATCTAGTCTGCAGGATAAACATATTTGTGAAGCGCCCAGATAGGATAGGACTGTCTTATTGGGATGGGTCATATTTTCTACAGCCTCAATGCCCGGTGCGATAGCTCAATAGTGATGAGTTCAAACCCAGGCCGGGTCACCATGACCAAAGACTCTAAAAATTGTACATACTTCTTTCTCTGCTTAGCACTCAGCATCTATGAGAGAGAGTGTGGGAAGGTCAAACACACAACATTACCAGCGGGCTAGCCCCCTGCTGTAGTGCTTGCACAACTCTTACTGTGTGGCCCACGGGCTACAGGAATGGAGATGGGCACCACCCATATGCTCTGTACAGAGGGGAATGGGACGTTTTTTTTTTTTCAACAGCTACACTGCCCCCCTCCCCACATATCAATCCATTATCAGCTCAACCTTGGCTACTGTTTATTTTTATAATCTGTTATGCAATTATATTTGTCGGACTGACGACAGTATGATACAGACCCAGGCTCACATGGCCAACGGTTAGGTACCAAAGATTCAGCTGTAAGACGTTTCAATTAAGTAGCATCCACTACTTTTCGTCAGCGAAAAGTAGTGAATGCCACTCGAAACGTCTGACAGTTAAAAAAAAAACATCCGGTTGATTGAGTTAGGTTAGAGGTACGTACTGTGCATTGTTTGTATTGTTATGTATTCCTACTCTCGCAGTATGTTTGCATATAGGCCAGGTGTCTCAATTAAAGGGATACAAAAAATAAATACCCATACAGGATCTGTATTCAATCTCCACAGTCTAGCTACTGGACGTGAACATGATGAAGGGGACACTCCTGGCCGGGGTTTTGCTAATACTGTGTGGGCTTGCCGCCTCACAACATGAAGGGCACGACCATGGACAAGACCCGTTCGAACTGGTCCTACACCTACTGGGAGGGGATGAACACCAACACAACTTGACTTTCGACATGTCTACTTCTCTTGTTAAGACCATGCTTGACCGGGTAAAGTGTGAGAGGCTGGAGGCTGACGAAGAAAGGAACTTCACCTGTGCCGAGGTAGGAACAACGTCATGTCTTGTTTTTTTGTGTTTTTTTTTTACAGTAGCTTTGTATCTTTGAAGGCATCCAATGCAGGGCTGCAAAAATGTATTTGGCAGGCAATGTCAATTTTCTGGACACAGTGTATCAAATATCAGTCAGATTTCAAAATCCATAATATATTGTTTGTTTTGCCGACCTAAAAATTGCACTGGGTGCCATTGTGTACCCTTAATTCATTGTGTGTATGTTATAGACGAAAACACGTAAAGCAAACATTGAACTGGAGAGGTTAGTGCACGCTAGTTGTAAAAACAACAACACTCAATACATGTTCAATAGATTCTTACTATACTGGCGTTTAAATGTCTGAGAACACAGATGCAGAAGTATTGATCTAAAAGGGGATTATGTCGCTGTAAGCATTTGAAGGGCAACATCATGAGTCAGATTTGAACAAAGATAAGGCAGTGTTCATGCGTTAGCCACCTCTATATTTGTGTAAAACAGATCTTGCTTATGTGCTATGATATAAGGGCTCGAAATACTGGATATACAGGCTCCAAATACTTGTGCGGGGTCGTGTGGCGTAGCGACAGAGTGCTCGACTCGGAACCAAGAGGTACCGGGTTCGAGTCCTGACATGCCACCGATCTTGTGCCCAGGTATTGCGTCAGCAATTCCCAATGGTACCTCTTGGTACCCGGGACCTCTTGGTTCGGAGTCGAGCACTCTGCCGCTACGCCACACGACGCCACACATGTATTTCGAGCCCGTATATCTAGTATTTCTACCTGCACCTAGCCTGCACCGGTCCATGTACTGGGTTTACATGTACATGTATTATGATAAAGTGTATGTCGATTTTTACTTGCTACATTGACTGTTCGCACCATGTAGTAGAAATGAGATAATGGTAATAGTTTTTATAGTATGATCCGTACTTCTGAGTCGTGCAGGTAAAATTTTGTCTGGTGCAGCCTTGCAGGTCATTTTCAAGGTTAACTGCACCAGTGCAGGTATACAGAAAAATATTTCGAGCCCTGGATACAATAGCCAACTAACATAAAGTCTGGTATGTGGGACCATGGCGCGACACATAGTACATGAAAATGCCATTTGCCATATTGGCTATCAAATATGCAAAGTGCCAATCATAGAGTGCAACGCCCGAGCTTGAAGTACCCTGCATGTCTGGCCAGATGGCGATAACTAATGTAATCATTTACCACAACGCATTGTACCTCCCTTTTGGGAACCAGACAAACAGCTACTTAAAACATCTTATATATTATGTCTCAAAAAGACACGGCATTGTTACAGTCATAAAGACTAAACATTGTAAACCTCAAGTTGACCCAATCTATATACTGTAGGTGATTGCTGACGCAAGTCTTCCAAAGTATGCTACGTATTTGCAGTTCTTTACAAATGCTTTATGACTTAGACCCTTGTTGAACATTTATGAGTTTCATATTGAATTACAATGCTATTGTTCGTGTCGCATGGCACAGAAGGGTGTGCGTGGGGTGGGGGCAAACAGTGGCAACCTACATGTAGATATTACCTCCTATCCACAAATTACAGAAAAAGTGGGATCTTTTGTCTTCCTCTGTCTTCAGAAAAGAAGTCAATCCCAGTAGTTGTTAGGAGTTAACAGCAGTACTTTGTGTATCAATTGCCTGTTCTTATACCAAATGTTTCTTCTGTACTTGCAATTAGCCCTCCGACATTTAATTTGCAATAAAACAATTTATTTTATTCCATATGCAGCCTTTTAAACGATTGTAAACATGAAAAGCAAACATGGCCAACAAATTAACAAAACGATGTGGATTTACAAGAACATTAGAGTTGACAGAAATACAGCCGAATGGCCTCACCTAAAGCACGTTAACCTTTAGCACACTGAAGCACCCTTCTGGCTAACAATTCTCTATTGTTAGTGGGGTGAGGCAGCAGGGATAAGGTTAAACAATTCTCACCTAAAGCGCGTTAACCTTTAGCTAGCACGCTGACGCAGCCTTCTGGCTAACAATTCTCTAATGGTAGTGGGGGTAGCAAGGGTAAGGTTAAACAATGGCATCAATGCTGTAATTATGGTTATCACCAACTCTACTTCTAGTGCAATGTTGTTAGACATATTGTCGGTTCTACTTCATTTGATCGCGTCAAGCTATGTTTTGCCGTTTTGCGGTTTGTCCAGATACTCTCAACATAAAATAATTTCTTATTTACTTCACCACAAAACAAGGCTCATACTAACCACTCACATGTTTTGGGTTACAAAAAGGGACTTTAAAGGCAGGTGTTTATTTAACCTTAGACTTGAAAAAGTTTAAGGTTGTACCCTTTTTGGAAGCATTCACAACAAAGCTCTGCATCTGTTGACTTGAACGTAGCCCGATAGGGCATGAATGAAAAAAAAATGTACAATAAAGTACATCTCAGTTACTATTGTCTTCCCGATCCCACAGTGCCTGACGGCTGATGGCTTGATTAAGCTATCTCTCGGCGACTCCACCGACACGAGCGCGCCTGTAGGCGAGGATGACTTCCACAAGATGGCCGTGGTTCTGACTGTCTTCCTGACGGACCTGTCTAACCTGGACGCCTGTACGGAAGACCCCGGGGGCAAGGGGTATCAGGCTATCGAGAACCGGCTAATGCGGTACACGGACTCGGCAGGGTTTACTCTGAGCAGCTATCAGCGGGTCCTGGAGGACATCAACACCAACTATCGTGTGCAGAACTGGGGCAAGGTGAGACCACAAACATACAAAAATGTTTGTAAACATACAAAAATGTCTGTATGTTGTAGTGTACATGTAAGCCTCTAGCCTCTGTAGTTGTCACTTGTATGCTTTCTTTTTAGAGGTTGTCAATATTGCTGATGGCACAGTGTGGAAAAGACCAATAAACAAATAAACGTTAAACAAATAAGCAAACAATGCATTTGGTTTCCAACCCTGAATATCAAAAAGGAAAGTGTGGTGGACCAAACATGTACTACATTCATATCTGCGCATTGCTTCTTGTTTAGATCTGCTGTGAAACCTGTACAAGTGACCACCTCTATATAAAGACCACTTCATAACTGTAACCACTTTTTTGGCACATTGACACAAGCATTTAGAATCCTGTTTATAGTGGAGGTCTTCTTGGGCAGTTCTATAATTGTAACGTATATACATAGTTCGTGTGTTTTTTTAGACATACGAATATTAGACAATCAGGGACATAATGAGACATAAGAAGGTCTACGGCATACACAGACAGCATTAGGTGGGATTTTTTCTGTAGTCGTTAGTTACTAACTAAACGACGCCTGTTCAGTGTTTTACTGCAGAGTCGGTGTTTGAGCAACTCCACCTCAACACCAGCGACTCAAGCGGCGGGGTGTCACAGCAGGAACTGAAGGAGATAGCAGCAGTAACCGTGGCTAGCGTACTGGAGGGGCTGTGTATAGGGGAAGCCGAGCTACCAGAAAGATCCTTCTTCGTAGACAACCTCTTTGAGAGCCTCAACATGACCAATGGCACTATCTCGATCGATGGTATGTCATTTTTTTAGTTCGCTTTGATAGATTAAAATTATAGATCATTCATTACCATCCCTTACCCAAGTCTACACATGTATTTCTTTTGCCGGAGGAAATTTGAATATGCATTATCGTTACAGACTACCAATCAGAAGTATCTAAATATCAACAGTGCTACGTTAATAATTCTTCTTATCTCATACTTAAGGAATGAATCCCCTCTACTATATACTTGACTGTTTGTATGTTAAGTTTGTATGTTAATGTTAAGTAGTCTAGACCTTACGAAAGTCGACGTACTTTTGTTGTGTCAATAAAAACTGTATGTGTGACTTTCAGCTCTCGAGCACGTTCTGTCTGATCTCGGTATCGGCGGGGAGGCGCCACCCGAGCCGCCGGTGATTGACGACGGGCACGACCATGCCGGGCACGACCACAGACGCAGACGGGAACTGCCTCCACTGACACGGGAGGACGAGCACAATCACACTCACGAACACGACCACGAGCACACAGACTTTGAACACGATGTGAGTAGTACGACTTTTTTTGTCCTCAACAGTATTTCGATCATCATCGGCCTCCTTCCGTCCCATGTAGTCAATGGGTCCGCTTCAGGGAGAGAACATGTTTTCAACAAAGAAATAGTCATGCCGTCAAGTTCAAGAATTGTTGTAAGTATTGAGGTGTTCAAAACTCTTGAAGTTTTGAGAACTATTGCCACCAAGTACAGTAGGGGCTTCATCACTAGATAAGCTTTAAACAATCTTTAGAGTTATATATTCAGGTGTAACAAGTCGTTCGGTGTAGTACAGCTAGCTGCCACCGCGCCGCGTGCCTACGAAGCTGGTGTGTGACGCCTAGGGGCGTCAACAGATACAGATATAAAAAAAAAACACCTACTTTTTTCAACGCAGTGCTTCAACTCAGCCCAGTTGATGAAGCTGTTCCTGGTTGATGAGGAGATGGGTGTGACACGTGACCAGTTCAGCGCCATGGCCCCAGCCCTGATACAGCAGGTGTACAGCAGGGTGTGCGTGTCGGGGACACCTGCTGAGAACGCCACAGCAACGCCGGTCGTCAGGGACCTCACTATGCTGGAGAGTAAGTTTGATTCTTTTATTACAATTGGACAAAATTACATCAGTGCTGATATTATTTACTGTTCTTGCGATGAATCCTAAATATCTTTTAATGCTGAAATGTACCAACTGAAATGCTGACTTCTACCAACACAGATAAACTTTCATGCTATCTTTTAATGCTGTACATGATACTGAACATACAAACTCTGATCGGGGTCTCTACCGCCAGAGACTCTGATCGGAGTTTCTGTGGACAAAGACTACGATCAGGGCCTCTACTTTTAGAATCTCGAATTCCACCATGCAGTTCAGAATTTCTACCCTGACATATCTGTAATCCACATATGATCATGGTACCATATGTATAATGAAAGGAAACATGCATGGCATCTGATTTCACGGCAGTTAGAAGATGATTCACCTTTCTCCTCCCACAGAATACGGGTACGGGACGCTGTCTGTGGTCCTCATCAGCCTGCTGGCCCTGATCGGCCTGTTGGTGCTGCCCATGGCCGGCTCCAGCGTCTACAAGTTCATCGTGCAGCTCGGGGTCGGGCTGGGGGTCGGCGCGCTGTCGGGGGACGCTCTGCTGCATCTTCTGCCTCAGGTGAGCTCTAGTAATCTCCCAGCAGATCTTTCAGTGGCTGCAAAGACAGTCTCGAATTGGCCTGGCAGTATCCACTGGTGGATGGCCAATAGATGCTGTCAGGCCAATGGTTACTGCCTGGCCTATGCTGTGTTGAGTCAACCGAAAGATCCGCTTAGAAGTTAGAGCTCTAGTTGTGCTCGATATAATTTTGCTTGTATTACTACATGTATTACTATAGGTCTTTTAATGTGTGGAATACAGCATCAGCTGAATTTGCTGTCTAGCGCTCCACGTGTACTAACGCGATCTTGTGCCACAGGCTCTCGGTCTACACGGAGACCACGCCGCCGGCCATACGGACCATGACCACGACATATCCTACATGTGGAAGCTTCTGGTCGCCATGGGCGGAATCTACTTCTTCTTCGTGTTCGAACGGGTGATGAGTTTCCTCATGCCTGGCCACGGTCACGGTCATGGCCATTCTCACGGCCATCATGAGGTGGGGTCATGTGAAGAAATGGTAACATTAAAGGTATCCAATTTCAGAGCAGCAAAACTGGAAATATTCTGAATAAGGCGATCTTTACGATATTGGCACATACTGCTTCACATTAACACATTTCAATCAGTATTTAATACTTTTGGCATTTTTAAAAGAAACTGTCGAAAGAAGCCCCAAGATGAGTCCTTTATTTTATAGGTGGTACCCTAAAAATCAGCTAAGGGCCCTTCCAGTAACAATTTCCGTCAGTTTTTGGGTATTTTTGCTCCATGAAGGTGATGCATTGGGATAGTGTTGTTTCAACTCAGTATGTAGATAAATGACTAGAATATTGACTTTGAAAAATCTGGTTTTCAGGCCCTAAAAACTGCTCTGGATGCCTTTAACACTCGGGTTCAAGCCTGTTGTGTACATAATAGGTGGACTTGTAAGACTTGTAACAGTGCTTCTCTGAAGTGTGACGTCAACACTAGGTCAAAGGTATCTGGTAAACGATGTCGGCCCCCGTCGCGGTTGGGCCCTGATGTAAATAGCCTCTTTCACACCTCTCATGAAGTAGTCTGGTTCGGTATTCGTCTTGCGTAATGTTCTAACAGGGTGTCCAACCTTCATCGACGAATGTTAGTTGGGATTCTATGTGCCCAACACTAGTAGAGATTTGACGGTAGGAAATTTACATGCATGGAAATTCAAATCCACCTGAAACGTCCTAGCCTGGGTACCATCCTACTTGTATGCCGGGGCTCCCACACTCGCTTCGAATTCCCTAACAACTTTTTAGGGAAGTGAATGTGGGAGCCCCGGCATACGTAGGATGGTACCCAGGCTAGAAACGTCCGGGTCTAATCATCCAATATGGTGGACAAAGCTTACGTCATGGTCACGTGAGAGCAAACACCCTATACGTACCGTTTTCGTTCTGCACAGAAGGCGGAGGATAATGTATACGAGAATGATGTGCAGCTTCGCAAGATCACCCAACTGCCACCGGAGCCGAGTATGGGCTCAAAGAGCCTCTCCATATCCAAGCAACAGTTGGTAAGTGTTTGTTATTATTAGATTTATACTCTCCAAGCAGAGGCTTATTTTTGGCGTGTTCCTATCGGGCTCTCTTTTCTGTATGTATTATGGTACTAGTATCTTGTTTTACTCCGGGTTTCAAATGGTAACTGCCTGGCAAATGGAAGAAGAAGAGGGATTGTGTACATTTGTTTCCTGTGTCTCGCTCGTCATGCCAGCATGTTCAATATGTTAATGGTAATATATGAATGGATTTTTGCTGTAGACTAACGGACAGAGTACGATGACGCTGGATCAGGATGCGGAGATGCCTGGTGAAGAGAACACTCCAAAATACTGCTGTGGAGGTTAGTGTGATCACTTAGAATATCGGATGGGAGCATGGGAACAAATGTGGCACACGTAACGGCAAACATGCATGTATATTGTACCCCATAAAGCCCAAGTACGAAGGCAAATTATCACCATTCTGTAAATTCAGAGTCTGAAAAATTGTCGAAGTTTGGCTATAAATATAATATATATATGGAGTTGGTGATTCACTTCAACGAAGTCACCCGGACAGAGGCCTGGTGAACCGCTACAGGATCAGCCACATGCACGGTGAGTTACATCATCACCCGGACGGAGTCCTGGCGAACCCCGTCTTGTATTAAGCTAAAACAAAGTTAGTAAGTTAGTAAGTAACAAAAGGATATGTCACCCCATCTTGAAAGTTCATCTGTGTTGGTAGAAGTCATTATGAACAAGATTGAACTGTACTTGCCAACACAAAACATTGGACTCACCTCGTAAGGGTCGGTATAACCCCGACCAATACAATCGGCCGATGATAATGATGGTAAATTGACATGTGGTCTGTTCTCGTCGCCAGGATGCACTCCGACAGCGATGATGATCATCTTCAGTGACACCCTGCACAACCTGACGGACGGGCTGGCCCTCGGCATCGCCTTCAGCGGCGACCTGGCTGTCGGACTGTCCACCTCCATCGCCGTCCTGGCGCACGAGCTGCCGCACGAACTAGGTAAGCTTACGGAGTGGTTACATTTGTCGTATGATGGTCGTATGATCGTCGTACGATTGCCGTACCATCGTCGTACAAACGCCGTACGATAGCCGCCCTGGATCACGAGCTACCACACAGCTACCGTAGGCTTATGGATTATCCACATTTGTCGTACGTTGTCGTATGATCGTCGTACAATTGTCCCATGATTGTCTTACAATCGCCGCACGATTGTAGCACAATCGTCGCATCATCGTCGTACAATTGTCGCATGATTGTCGTGCAATTGTCGCATGATTGTCGCGCAATCGTTGTACGATTGTCGCACGATCGCTGTACTGGCGCAAGGACAAGGTAAGCTTACGGCTCGTACTCTCCAAGCAGACAAGGGTATTGGATACTGACTAGCAAATGGATATGGCGTACTGGCCAATTTGATACTGTCTTTGCTTTGCTACCACCCAAAGATCTGCTTGGAGATTTTGGAGTGTCTCAACAGATGTTATGTTAATACGCAAATGTAACATGCAAGTTGATTGCAAAAAAATCTGAATCTTGACTCTACTTACGTCTTATACAGGTGACTTCGCCATGTTGCTGAGGTGCGGGATGAACTACAAGAGCGCCTTGCTGTGGAACCTGTTCGCGGCCTGCTGGGCATTTGTGGGGCTGTACATCGGACTGGCTATCGGAGCCGACTTCAGCATCAGGCAGTGGCTCTTCGCCCTCATCGCCGGCATGTTTCTCTACGTGTCGCTGGTCGACATGGTACGTTCTGATAGTTCACCTAAGTGTGTTGGTAGATATATGTTTAAAACTAGAAAGGTAACATTTGCAAAGCAAATGAATAATGTTTACCTTCGCATATGGTATTCTCTGTCAAGTCTTACTCAAACAGGAGTCAATTATCGATCAATTCTTACTCATTCAACATTTCACATATATATGGTGACAGGAGTCTAAATCCCTCCTGCTATAAAATTGCAACATGACGAGACCCAAAACTAGCTACATTGTGCCATACATAGTGACAGACGTCTGGATCAGGTCATTAACCTTATTTGGAAATGAAGAAGAGGAAGAAACAGAGCAAAAACAATATGTTTTCCCTCGTCAAACATTTGTTCCAAAACAAGGGGTTGTTCTCACCTAGAGCTTTCGACTTTGCAGTCACTTTTGTCTTCTTCATTAGACTGACCCAACAGATAGTCTGCCGAGACTGAACTGCAAAGAGTAGAGAACCAACAATAACATTATATCTTCTCATTCCTCAGCTACCGGAACTGTTACACCACAAGTCCAAGTCACCTGTAGTGACCTTCATTGGGCAGAACATCGGGTTCCTGATGGGAGTGGCGGCGCTGGTCTTCCTGGCCATGTACGAGGAGCAGATACAGGTGTCCATCACTCTGGGATAAGTGTTGAAAGTTAAAACTTTTGTTACAACACAAAGGTAAATGTTCTCACCTAGAGCTTTCGACCAGTGCATTCTGGTCTTCTTCAGTAGACTGACCCAGTGAGATTAGTCACGTGGCTTCACTGAAGTGTGACGTCGACACTGGGTCAAAGGTATCTGGTAAACTATGTCTACTGAGAAAGACCACCGGAGTGCACTGGTCGAAAGCTCTAGGTGAGGACATTTACCTTTGTGTTGAAACAAAATTTGTAACTTCCAACACACCCTAGGATGAGGTAACGTCTGGACAGGTCCGAAAGTACGGTATGAGAAGCACGTAATCGCCAAGTTAAAGCAGATCTTTTGGTGGCTGCAAAGACAGAATCATATTGGCCAGGCAGTATTCATTGGCCAGAAAACATTCGCCACCGAAAATGGTAACTGTCTGCCAATGGATACAGCCTGGCCAATTTGATTCTGTACTTTGCAGCCATCAAAAGATCTGCTTGGAGATTGGACAGCAAGTCGACAAAACGCAGTGGGCCTGCATGCGCGAAACTCGCACATTTCGTGGGACGTTTGGACAACGTTGCATCAGAATTTTGTCCGTTGAAGACGATGTCGTTTTATACACATAATTTGAAAAGTATTGACGGAATGTCATATTAAATATGACCTTTTAAAAATGAGACGTCCTGCCGAAGATCCATGCATAATACATGATAGGTTTCGCGCAGGCGCAGTACGTCCTGATGGCATACTGGTGTCGGCACTCACGTGACTGTGACGCAATTATCCGCCATGTTGAACGGTTAGACGTGGACGTTTCTAAGTAGATTTGAATTTGTATACATTATTACTACATTACTTTGTACTCACTTTCAAGTCTGACTTGTAAAAATCAGCACAAACCAGGTCTGGCACAATGGCTAAGATGCAAAGACCTATTGGAAAAAGGTTACAGTTTATCCAGTAACATGAACAACTTTACCCCAGAATTTGTAACATCTTACTTTTATGTTTGTGTATGCTTTGAAGTTGCAGTAGCGGAATCAAATACGTAAATAGCAAATGAATGGCGTGGAATAACAAATAGCATTCAGTCATTTGTGACTATAAAACTTACATATATCATGCTACTGGTCAATACACTAATTCCTTTCCTGTGATACATGTATATCCACCAAATTTTTACTTGATACAATGATCAGCTTTCTTTTATATCACGGTGTGTGGATACATTTCTGTACATTTTGCTTATAACTTGGTTTTGGGCATATTACTTGACATGTTTCATACAATGTAGTACCCAGATTATTACATATGCTAATACATGTATACAAATCTCACTGTGAAATAGTTTAGCCTTCAGTCAACGATTTCTTGGGAGAATTTTCCACCCGTTTTCTTGTGTACGTTTTTGTCTTTTGTAAAATACGTTTATTGCACGTTACAGCACATTTACACGATACATGGGTCATTCCCACTAGCCAGGAGTTGTGTGACAGGTTTCTTTTATCTTGGATTTTCTGTACTAGGGTTAGTCCCTTTTATTCATCTTTTGTCTTGATAATAAATATGTTTTAGTCAAACTTCGACAATTTATCACTCTAATTTTTAGAATGGTGATAACTTGCCTTCGTACTTATTACACCTTTATGGTGTACAGTTGCTAAACAATCAGCCTATGGGAACCAGCCACCTGTTTAACACACACAGGATATAAATAACTAATCTCCAAGCAGATCCTAGGGTGGCAAAAGACAGTATCAAATTGGCCAGGCAGTATCCATTCACCAATCTGAGAGAGAATCCATATGCCACCCGTTGCAATTTGATAGTCCTCTGCGACCCTAGGTTCTGCTTGGAGATTCATAAATAACTGGATCAGCAGCCTTGTTTCTTACATTGACAGCTTGCTAATGACAGTTGAAATACTAACTGGATAGGTAAAACCAAAACTAAAGTTTGTGCACTGTCAAGTACCTTACTGGTAATTTGTGTTATGCCAGTATATTGCAGCAAGATGCAGTAAAACTGAGGGGAAAATAGTTTTAAGAGAGAATTTTGTCAGAAACTGCATCAGGATTACATTTCAAAAACACAAATCAAGAACTGTAAAAACAGTGGTAAAACTTGGGATTCCTCCAATACATTAACATGAAAATTACGGCAGGATCTCTTGAATACTCCAAAAGCAGTGCTTGTTACTCAAAAAGAGTTACAATGTAGTATGAAGTACCAAACCAGGAAAGTGTTCATGCATTTCAACAGGTTGTGTCTTTGATACTGGACTATCCCTTGTTGTGCTGTTTAAGCACCAACCATAAATATCAGAAATGCATAATATTTGCACAAAATTCACGTATGTTGAAAAGTGGAGGTACATGGCAATCATGTGAAGAATTTTTCCATGCAAAATTATACATAATGTCCAACAATCAATTCTTTTAAGTACATTGTGTAAAACAACAGGACACATAAATGCTATGCCAATATATTGCAGCAAGATGTAAAATTACAAACAAAGAATTGCCAGTCAGTGCTTGTATCAGTCCATTTTATTTTCTGCAGTATTTACATCGTTTTAAACAAATAAAAGCAAGTCGCAGACAGACCAAAACAATCTTGCACATACTACAACAACGGAAGACACCGAAATCTCACAGAGATCCCAACTTGAAGCTCTTCATATCAATATCTACGAAACATACAAAACGACGGGAAAGAAAATATATAGCGAACAATCACAAAGTGAAGGTATATGAATATAAAACAGATTCACTTGCCATGGATATGGTTGTTACGACATCGCCAAGTTTGTACAAAGTTACAAGACTATGTTAATATACCTTCCCTTTTCCACCATATCTTGTTACAAATTCACGTATGTTACACAAATATACAAGTGTGATATGTAATTTAGAACCCCTCCCAGTTCACAACTTACATCAGTATTGTACACATGATTAAGTTGCTTCACTTATATATCTACTTAGCTAGCTTGGGTACTGAGCCAGAGTCACCATTTTCTATAGGCATACATAGGAAGGTATCAAAATATCTCTCTGCTTTAGCCTTGGCATGTTATTCACTGAGTCCCATATCTATCTATCAAACTAGCCTATCGTGCTTTGAGGGCCATCTTGGAGGAAGAAACCCACTGTCAATTTCTATCTGTTGAAGAGTTGATCTGTTATTTGCTAACTAAATAAAAAACAATCTAAAATATCTAATCTTCTTGGTTAAAAGTGCTGAATAATCAGTGTTCCAGCTAAAAATGCTTTCCGTTCAGTCTGTACAAATCATTGTGCATTTCATAGCATTTTTTGTTACAATCCTGTAAGCTATATTTCTGCCATTATTTTAAGCACCCGGGGGGTTGTGTGCCACAGGCAGACAAGCCAGAAGAATTATACTGTGTGCAACAAAAGATTTCCCTACAGTACAAACTGTTACTGTGAAACTCAATACAGACATAACATTGAGACTTCATCACAAGTCAGCATTTATCAAAATCTAATAACAGAAAACAAAAAAAAGTTACATGGCTTCTGAGATCTGGTGAAGTGTGGAGTTGTTACTTTACACCTCTCCATAACAGTGTTCTTGTCCACAGCAACAACACAGAAAGTGACTCCTGTGATTTAACAGTTTTGTCAGTGACAACGTGCTTTGCACACATTCATAGCAGCCAGCTTCTCCACATGAAACTGAGCTTGACCAGACGCAAGCGGGGTCTCTTTCACGTCAACGCAGAGATGCACAGACACGTACAGGCGACGAGAATATCGTTCGAGCAGACTGTGGCCACTTGAAAAGACATATGGCACTTCAGACAGAGAGGTTGATGAGCTTGCGAGGGAGATCAACCTTTTTGAGCAACCTCTCATTTCACAGTTGAGTCAGTTCTCTACCGTATGACTGTGATTCCTCCATATTGACTGTGTACACACCAACATACACACGTACAAGACACTTCAATACGTCTAGAGAATGCACAGCAAACTATCACATCCTGGAGTCTGCTGTAAGTTTCCCTGTAAGGTTCGGACATGTTCTTCTAAGTTGTAGACTTGAGACATTCAACCTCTCAGAGGCGAGCAGTATTTCCTCCTTCTGTTCATCAGCAGAAGGTGAATTGTTAGTGGTTTTATCACAAGAGTTGTTTCCGCACCCATCCAATGTTAGGATTGAGTTTTCTTTCTGTCCATCAGCACTCGACAATATCCTGGCAACATTGGAGATGCAACTTCAAGTTCAACTGACTGGCAGTGCAGTTTCTTGATGACAACTTTTGGTTGGAATTTTCCTTGGCAAGACAGTGGTTGTTGTACGTACACCAGTTCCTAACGGCTGGCGTTATACAGCAGATACCTGCTCCTCCTCTTCATCTGCAACACATTAAGGAGAGAAAAATTGAGAAAACATTCACACTACAGAGTACCTTTCTCACACAACATATAGTTTGAGATCTTTTCATGGGTCAGTTTTCAACAAATTCTTTTAATAGGCACTTCAAAATTACACTACGGTACAGAAAGACATCACAATTTGGTTGGACTTAGAGATACTGATAAATAAGACTTTTTCGTCTCCATACTAGAATTCCAAACCTTTCCCAATTTAGAGAGCCGCTTGAGTTATACCTTACGTATACAGGTCATCTGCTGTCAGAAGAATAATTTTTTTCCTAAATGAGTAGCACAAAATGGCCTTTCTGGCCAGCAAATAGAAAACATCTTCTTTGTTTCTGTACACACTCCCTTCTCTACAACTATTGAAAACACCACACATACTCTTGAACTACAGACAACACCATGCAAAGATGGAGGAAGAAAGATGACATAGCCAGTGCTCCACCCTGCCTTCTACCACCATACCCTTTAGGACAGTCCAATATCACCAACTGTTTTCTATTTGAGAGATCCTACCTCTAAAAAAAATTTTTTTTTTACAGCTCTCGGTGGCAAATAAGCCGATGTTGGCACATTGGCACACCAAATCCGCTAATCTGTATAACTGTGGTTTTGGCACACAACGTCGGGCCATGGACATGGACACAACGTCGGGCCATGGTAAGTATCGAACCCAGGACCTTTTGATTCCGAGTCCAACGCTCTAACCATTGCGCCACCGACGTGCCAGTCTTCTGTCTGTAATAATTTCATTTCTTTGAACTGCACAGGTTCTGTATAGTCTGCTATGAGTTAAAAATTTGCTTTTAGTTGCTACTTTATAGAGACTGAGTTGCAGTAAAACTGAGGGGAAAAGAGTTTTAAGAGGGAATTTTATCAGAAACTGCATCAGGATTAAATTTTAAAATCACAAATCAACAACTGTAAAAACAGTGGTAAAACTTGGGATTCCTCCAATACTAAATACATTAACATGAAACTTACGGCAGGATCTCTTAAATACTCCAAAAGCAGTGCTTGTTACTCAAAACAGTTAGTATGAAGTACCAAACCAGGAAAGTGTCCATGCATTTTAACAGGTTGTGTCTTTGATACTGGACTATCCCTTGTTGAAGCCCCTGTCACACATACATTGTAGGCAAATTTGGGTGAACTTTCCCCAACCATGGTTAGGAGTAGGCGGGATGCAAGGTTGGCTGTGGTTGGCTGTGCCAGTCAGAATGGTTCAAAATGTTTTAAAACATTTGGGTGTGGACGACAGGTTCAGCCAAGTTTGGCTGATACTTGGGAATAGTTCAGCAGTGTTTTAAACATTTTGAAACATTCGGCTGGTGCAACCAAACTGTAGCCGACTTCTAACCATGGTTAGCATTCGGAGAGGCCAAATTCGTAAATGTGTGACAGGGGCTTGTAAGCATTAGCCCCAACTTTGCACAACTGACACTTGTTAGCGGTATATACCAGTTACGGGGACTGGGGATATACAACTACAATGGATAACACTGCAACCCCCTGAACACACAACAGCTGGGGATTCAAGGAAACGACGTACAAACTTTTTTTATTGCACTCTCCCCTGACACTGGAGCAAGCAGCCTTATACCACTGTGTGCATGACAGAACAGATATCTGTTAATATGATTTAGACAGCATGTCGGAGAGAACGCTGTATCGGCAGGGCTCGAAATACTTTTTCTGCATAATCTTTCGGTGGCGGCAAAAGACAGTATCCATTTGCCAGGCAGTATCCATTGGCGACCCGAGCAGTGGCAAATGGACACTCCTCTGGATACTGCCTTGCCACCATATGATCTGCTTGGAGATTATTTCTTTATACCTGCACTGGTGCATGTAACATTGAATATTACCAGCACCAGACAAAATTTACCTTCACCACTCAGACTTTGTGAAGTATGGATAACACTAAAATCTTTTTTGATAAAGCATTGACATTATTTCTTTTACACTTCATAGGTGGCAACAGTCATTGCAGCAAATAAAAACCCACATACGCCTACATGTATATTTCCATAAACCTATAGTACATGGGCCAGTGCAGATTACATGCAGGTAGACATCAGATATACATGTACCCACACAGCTCCAATTTTATATGCCCAGTACATGGACCAGGTGCAGGTTAGGTGCAGGTAGACATCAGAAATACCTGCACAGCTCCAATTTTACCTGCACTAACCCGCATATACCCAGTACATGGACCAGTACTGGTTACATGTAGGTGCAGGTAGACATCAGAAATATAAGCACCCAGTATTTCGAGCCCTGATACATCATGGCATATGGTATAGCAGCACACATGTAAGTGCCTCATGAACATTATGATACCCCACCAGCATTATATCTTTTGTACACTAGAATGACTGGTTATATGCTTCCACCTTACACCATATGAAAACTACAGTATGCGATAGAAAGGGGAAAAGCACAGAGTGAATTCTTTGACAGCAACATGACGATACAAGAATTATTTTCATACCAAAAATCCACCCTAAAATATTCTTACAACCACCATTCAGCAATCTCTTAAAGTCAAAAGTTAATACTTCCATAAGGGCAGTGATTCAACCCACAGATAAAGAAGACTTACATGTAATATGTCAGAAAGGTGGTTATAAATCCTTACTTGGTACTTCGTTGAAGCAGTAGCCCCTGAAACCAGCCCTACATTCAAGTCTTACCTATATCTGTGTGTCTTGTTTTATTCTTAAGCATCTTAGACACACTTCATTAAGTGTTTTATGTCTGCAAGGTTGTTTTGTGTGATACTAGCTGTTGGAACCTGGTGTCCAGTCTATCGTGGTTGGGGCAGGTTTTCTTCGGGGCTGCTGAAGCTCTTCCCCGCCTGCCTCATCTAGGTTCCCCGGTAGGTTTTTCACGATGAGGGATTGATTAGTGGTGGGGCGAAACAGAAGACCTTGCTACACTCCTGCTGCAAAGTCTGCCTTGTCCCCCCGACGACCAGTGTCGGTTATGGGACTAGGTAGGTAGGTAGGTAGGGGCGAACCAACTACAAACTGCCAAACTCTATTAGCACAGGTCCTACAGGCGTAACAATGCATCCTACCGGGCGGCCTGTTGTACTATAGTATTAGAGCCCCGAAGACAGCCTGCCCCAACCACGATAGACTGGATACCAGGTTAGAGCTGTTGCTGTGTGTGCCTTAAGTGTTAGGACTGAACAGTTACACCAGTGGATTAATATAAATGTCAGTTGCATCCCGACTCACCATCCTCTATTTCAAAGTCGAAGTCTTCCGTATCGTCGGGAGCCATGTGACTGACAGAGGTCCGAGGAGGCATGGTATAGGGGTCAGGGTAAGACGGTAGTCTCGCTCTAGGGCTGAGAGGGTCAGGGTGTACGACAGGCACTTGGGGTGAGGGGTCGTAAGGGTCAGGGGTCACGTGGTGGGCAGCAACCTGCGTGGCTATTCTGGGGTCGTAGGTGAGGGTGGTGGTGGGTTGTCTCGGGGGAGGAGGGGGAGGTCTTTTTTCGTAGGGTGGGGGTTGGGTTGGTCTGTGGGAGGGGGGTCGGTAGGCTGGGGGTGGTGCATTTGATGCGGAGGGGGAGGGAGGGTGTCTGGCAGTTGGTGAGTTCACGTGCGGTCTGCCACTAGGGGAGGAGGGGGTGGGTAAGCTGAAGGAGGGGGAGAGAGGGGGGTGTCCCGAGGGGTGGGGGTATGGAGGCTGTCTACCCGAGGGGGGAGGAGGGTGCAAACTGCTTACTCACGGGAGAGCCAGACTGTTTGCTGAAGGGAGGAAGGGAAGTACTTGTTAGTGGGGGTGGAGAGGGGGAGAGTTGGTCTTGGAAGGGGTTGGGGGCTGTCTGGAGACAGGGGAGGAGACGTAGGGGGGTTGTCTGGTGTCTGGGGCAGGGAGGGGGGGATGCCTGATGTCAGGGGGCGGGGGTAAAGGTCGGGGGTCAGGGGTAGGGGGCAGAGGTCGGGTGGGCTTACTGCTAGCATTTTGTGGAGGAAGAGGAGCGGAGTATCTGCTATCATGCTCTGCAAGAGAAGAAAGTGTTAAGTGTTAAATAAGAACAAACACAGACTTAAAAGCACAACACATCTACTACAGTCACATGCACAAACTTTATGGTAGCCTGGTTACCAGACCTATTATAGCTCCTGAGTCCTACATACATTGTACTTGTGGAGAGGATGTAGACTCGGGATCTATAATAGGTCTGGTATTGTAACAAGGCTAGCACAAAGGAACATTACGGTGTGAAACTTTTCAAATTAGAATCTTTTTGATACCTTTTACTGTTTTAGTCAGATCAAATATACACAAAGACATATGAGCATGCATGCAGTTACTTTTGTAGAAGTCTTCATGCTGGAACACTGTTTCCTAACATTAATAATGATTAAAATGGGCAGAATAGGGTACAACTGAGATTACAACGAATAGAGAAACATTTTATTTGAAAACAAGATGTCAGTGCTAATTGTTGAATACTGCAAGAGGGGTGCAAGCAAAATCCTTAGGAGCAAGCTCAGTCAATCCTTACTTGGTACTTTGTCCAATAATCAAGTCCTGCATATTGATTTGAGTGTCTTGTGTTCTATCCTTACAAGCATCTAACTGTTTTTTTATAGATATGTTCATGATAAAAAATTTGAATCTTTAGCCATTGATTCCTGTCTACACATACATGTATATTGATTCACTTCTTTCCCAACTTCCTTTGAAAAAAATCTGAATGTAAATCACTTCATATTCGCTGTAATTTTATATTCGCGGGTTCTGTATCACAAATTTATCGTTACCCCATAAATAAATGATTTGCCAACTTAATTTCTTAGTTCTGGTAACATGTCCATTTTTCTCATCAGACTGCGAACTTTTGCTACCACGAATATAAAGTGATTTACAATAACTGCTTCCCGTCATTAAATGGCAGAGCCGTTGTTGCCTGTTAACTCACCATCTTTGTCTGTCATCTGGTTGTCTGTGTAGTACATGGGAGGCACTGACATGGTGGCCTGAACAGGGGGGTTCCTCCTGGGCAGAGGGGGGGATCCCGACCCCTGGGACGAGGGGTTGGAGCTACTGGAGGGGGGTCTGCTCCTCACAGAGGGGGGTGAGTTGGACCCTGAGTCCACCGAGGCCGGCCGACTTCTTCTCTTCTCCTGGGGGGGACTTGAACCTGGATGTGATAATGAGCGTGGCACATAGATCAGATATGGAGTAACATTGAGCTTCCTTATGACTACTCTACCTTGGCTTTGCTCAGCCTGTCTGCAGAATGTACTGCGCCTGGGCGAAACCCTGATTTTTTTGTGGTTTTTGTTGGATGTTTGGTCACTGTTGCATTAGAATTTTGGCTGTTGCAGAGGATATTTTTTCCAACATAACATTTAAAAAACCACAGACAGAATGTTAAACTTATATATGCGAATACAACTTAATGTTCTGCACAATACATTTCGTGCAGGTTCAGTACATTCTGCCGAAGTGCTGCTTTGCTCCATTTAGAGTGGCTCAAGACTTAAAGGTATCCAAAGCAATTTCAGACACCTTCCTCAGGCCTTCTGACTGTGTACTAGACGTACATGTACATGTAATTGGCAGGATAACAAACGTGGATCAAGGTAGCAGTCTGGATAAGTCAGTCAACCCCAGTGATGAACCGGGACAAGGGCAATACAAACTCAACCACATTTGGGACTGTGTTCTTGACGCAAAAGTGCCACCTACATCGGCTACATCTGTATCTGTATAGCCGGTATAACCGCCCTTCAGTGTAACGAGCAGCTTAACACATATAACTGTGCAAAGCATTTCTCCCACCAGAAACTATGAGGAAGGTGTCTGAATTTAGACATCGAAACATAAGAAGGTGAGAGAAGCACTGATAGTGTAAAGAAAATCCCAATATCTTGTACAGTAAGAAGTGCATATAATACACATTTATAAGTGCAGCTTTGAAACATATGGACCAACACACATCACGTTGGTTATGGGGCAAGTCTACCTCTGGCTGGGTGACCAAGGTTCCCAAGTCGAGGAAAGTGCCAAGAAGACACCATCAACAAAGGAGCCTGGCTCACAAACACTTTCACTTCGGTAGAGAAGAACCCAAGGAAAAAAGAGAAAGAACTTCTATTGAGTGAGAATCATGTGGCACTATGGAAAAATGTTATCGAGAAGAACGAAGCATTTCCAAAGCTGAATCAAGGATAGGGTGCAAGTAAAGAAAGTCACTAATAGTAATAGGGCCATAATAAAAGAATAAACTGTAAGTTAGTAAGCAATATTCTGTATGAGTATACCAATAGAAGAAAAACTTAAGAAATTAGAAATTGGCCTTAGGTAAAGCCCCTGTCACACATAACTGAATTTGGCTTCCCAAATACTACCAAACTCCCCCCAACCATGGTTAGGAGTAGGAGCAAGGTTGGCTGTGTTTGGCTGGAGTTCAGCAAGGTTGGCTAATGTTTGGTGCGGCCAGCTACTGAACCTTCCCCCTAACTACCAACCAAGGTTGGCTGATATTCGGGAGTAGCTCAGCAGGGTTTGGGGCCTGTTCGGGGGTCAAATTTGGGTCAAATTCAATTTGATTTGTATAGAAAGGTAGGTGTGGCTTCAGACTGCACCTAAGCTTCAGCCAACCTTGGTTGGTTAGTGGTCAGGGGATAGCCTGGTTACCAAACCTATTTTAGCTCCCGAATCCTACATCCTCTCTGCAAATAGTATTAGATGTACATGTACATGTGTAGGAGTCAAAAGCTAAATTAGGTCTGGTAACCAGGCTAGTCGGGGGCAGGTTTTGAATGTCTGACAGAGGCTAAGGACTACAGTAACTATGCATACATGTATGTTGACGGTGGTGGGAGTATATACAGTATATCAAGCAGCGAGTGATGCTGGCAACTTACTCATCTGTACGAAGTTCTTGCGTTCCCTGGCGGGCGGGGAGTTTTCTCCGACGGAGGAGTTACTGATACTGTCGAAGTTGGAGATACTGCCCATGCTTACTCCGGAGTCTGAACCTTCGTACGGAGGCGGCGGGTTCTTCCCCGTGGACACAGGAACTGATGCTGCAGTAAAAAAAAAGAAGAGTTTTGCCGCTTTTGAGATTTCATACCAACATTTTTCAAGTCATTTCAGTCAATGTCTTGCAACACGATTGGAGAAAGGTATCTCTATAGCTAGTGTATATGCAGTTGGAGCTGTGTAGTCAAATCGTAGGTACGGGTACAAAATGTACATGTACATGGGTTTAGGTACAGGTACAGGTACATATAAATGGGTTTACAAAGATACAAGTACAGGGTTTTAGGTACAGGTACACAAGTTCAGGTACTGGTACATATTTAGATACAGGTACATAGGTTTAAGTACAGGTACATGGGTTTAGGTACAGGTACATGGGTTTAGGTACAGGTACACAGGTTTAGGTATACATGTAGGTACACGTCATATTTAGGTATAGGTACACAGGTTTAGGTACAGATACACAGGTTTAGGTATAAGTACATGGGTTCAGGTAACTAAAGAAATAGATGCATGTTCCTCATGCCACTCATAGAAAGAAGAAAAGATGAGCCATGCTTGTGAAAAGAAGCACTCAACAGGGCAAGAAATATTTTTTTTTTGTTACAACCAACTTGCAACGTTTTAAACCTATCAACTGGTAAAACTGAGTGCATAGCCCCAACATAGTACTTATTTGTGGAGACAAATTTGAGAGATTTGGAATTGTGTTCAAATATGTCAAAAGCAACATTTAATTCATACTAAAAAGAATACTAAAAACAGTGGAGGAATTTCACCGTATGGTGATTCAGAAAACCAGCAAGGTACAGCTTTCGTGTTTTTTTTTTCATTTTACTTGCTTGCAACTCCAGATAGATATTTACAGCCCTGCTGAAGAATCATTTAACATCTTTCAAATGGAATGATTTGAATTTTGTGGGAAGCGAATTCTCTGCTACCTTTCATCAGCAAGGACGGGTGCAGAAACCGAGGAAGGGAAAACCAAGAAGACAGGACAGGGGAGGGGCGGACATAAAACCCCACTGCAGAACACAAACAACGGTATAAACAAAAATGGAACACAACAACCTCTAGCAAAAAAGTAAAGCAGCAACTGAAAATACATGCAGTTTCATCAGGTTGGTAAAGCATAGGATATAGGTCTGGGATTTTCTTTTATACGTCAGCCAGTATTGTTTCACCTTGCTTACGTTTGAGGAAGGTGTCTGACAGACATGGAAATGTAAGCAAGATGAGACAATACTAGTTGTGTTATAGAAAATCCCTATATCCTATAGTAAAGCAGCAAATCAAAAATAAAACAGCCAAGCAGATATCCTTCAGCATAAGTCAGAAATAGGGACTGAGAAAGTTTGCTGCCAACAATTGAAGAAAAGAAAGGACGTACAAACCTGACTGTTCACTCTTCCCCTGGACCATTGGGGATTGTATATTGTATCCCTATTGCTTCTATTTATAATGGTAGTGTTTATTGTTAGTTTGACAGTGTGTAGTTCATAACATAGAAGTTGAAACAAATCCGTACCAGTGGAGAGAGATTTTCTGAGATGGTTGCCGTTTAGCGGGATGTCAGTATCAACACTGTGGCCTCGTCTCACGCGCTGCGCGTCTGTTCTCCTTCTGTAAAATCAACAACATGTACAGAGGTTAGCCTGGTGTTCAGTCTATCGTGGTTTGGTGTGGCTTCTCTTAGGGGCTGCTGAAGCCCTTCCCTGCCTGACTTAGCTAGGTTTCCTGGTAGGTTTTGCATGACAGGCTTCCAATTACATGTAGCCCTACTACGCTTGTGGTAGTTGATCAAGCTAACCAAGTCCTGGAATACAAAACTCTATCACAGGCGTAAAAACTCCCACCAGGCGGCCAGTTGAGCTGCACCTGGGAAAACTAATAGAGCTCCCAGAGAGAGCCCTGCCCAAACCACGAGAGACTGGACACCAGGCTACCAAGAGATATGACCAGCATTCTAAGCCTAGTCAGAAAATTGACGTTGTAAATCCTGTTTTGTAAATTTGCAACCCTGAAACATCGCTGGATGCCTTCAAGTTCAACAGAACTGACCTCATCCCTGGACTTCTGCGCAGCCGTGGTGAATGAGAGGGAGAAACGGCAGGGGAGTTGTCCACCGAGTGTCTGTGCTGCATCATCTTGTTCCCCTTCCTGGCGGCCTCCTCCGACAGGGACAGGAGCTTCTTCAGCGCTGTCGGGGACTCTGCACCTGTCGTACACAGGTGGGGGGTGGAGAGGGTGTCGTTATGTGTTACGTCAATGAAGGTTAGACATTCAGGTAAGGAGATGCACAAGGAATTGTTACTCGAGCGACAGTAACAGGATGAATTTTGAAAACTGTCAGATGTTTTAAGTAGCATACACCATTTGTCACTGATGAAGAGAAGTCAATGCTACTTGAAATGTCTTGACAGTTTTCAGATTCCATCCAGTTGCTTGAGTAAGAATTCCTTGTGTTACATGTACAATTGTATGCCTCTTGTAAATTGGCAGGGATCTCCCTAAAAAAAATAGGATTTTTCAACTGAACATTTTTCTCTTTTCTTAAAGACAGAATTTCAGGCAAGATACAAAGCTGAACTCCCAGGAAATGGACATCAATTTCATACGGAAATTTATTGGAGAGATCCCTGCATAGTTTCAGTTTATTCTTCCTGTCCAGGAGATTTTGGGTTCCACTGCGTTGATGCATTTGTTGGTTTGTGAGCAGAATGGTTTGCCAGATGCCTGTTATAATGATAATGATGATGATGGTTTGCTTTTGTTATCAAACAGTCAGCCTCAATGTTGCAGAGCCAAGCAGCTATAGTATACTCATCCAAGCTTCATTAGAACTGAAGTCAGATGTCATGGAGATGGAATGAAGTTGCTTGGGACACTTGCAGGAAAAACTGCAGGGTACATTTACATGTGTATTGCAGAAGAATGAAATAATAAAAACACCTATTACTTACAGTTTGAAAGACACTAATACATGTATTGAAAGATTCATTTAATATTATGTCATACACATATACTGCGTGTATCTTGTAGTTGTAAGTTACTCCAATTAAAATCAATAAAATTGTTTCAAGTGCCTTTCGAACCGTGAAGTGACAAGTGCTAGTCTAGTTACAACATAAAAAACAAAACAAAACAAACTGGAGTGAAGCGTTTAACGCAAAAGCAGCCATGCCAATGGAAGCACTTTCTGTTAGAGCATTTAGCACTTGGGCATTCAATGGCATGAGTGCTTGTGTGTTAATTTGAGTGGTGCACAAAGATGTTGAGGTGGAAAGCTTTCCTTCAGCCAGATGTAGGGAACACCACACCAACTAAAACAAAACTGCAGAGGAAATCCAACAGACAAACCCAACACACAAAGTAGTTGTCATCCTAAAGAGATAATTAATGAATCATAAATAAATAAATAAAAAAACAAAAAAAAGCAAAAAAGCAAGAAAGTAGTAGTTGCCAAGCCGTGAGCCCTGAATTCAAACTAACCATGCAATTTTAATAAGTTCCGCCCTGAATGGTCATCCGTTGCGCGCTCTTCCAGTCCTGTCAAAATCAAGTCAATTTCGTCATACACAGAGTGTCATGCAACGTGAAGATGCTGCCTCCATTGCAGGGGATTGTCAGTCATTACATTAAGGCTCTAGCCAGCACCCGGTTTTCAGTCAACTGCAGGAACTTTGTGGTGTGTAACGGAAAAATGTTTTAACTTTGATGGACAAAATTGACAAAAAATCTTGGAAAAAATGAAAACATCCAAAGGACTACCACCAACCACCCTCAACCCCATGATGTGCATGTCAAAATGTGGGAAATCACATTTTTTAAGGGCTTGAAAATCCAAACTTTGCCACCAGTCCCCCTAAATTATGAGCCAAGTCTGATCATGAACCTGGGCTGACAGAAAAAAAAAAATTGAGCTGGCTAAAGCCCTGCATTACACAAGCATTAATAGTGAGGATCTACATCATTAAACACTGTTAAAGGGGAAACATGTACTATCTACAACAGTTACAGTTATAGCTGCAGCTATATGTCACAACTAAGGTTACATTTGATTCAGTAATGTGGCATCCTGTCATTAGAACAGTTGTTTGACATCACTTGAAAAGAGGGGTTAAATTTGGGGCAACCTTACAACACAGCCTTAACAGGTTAACCTAACCCACCACATACATTGTACAGGTACATGTATGTGGTTTAGGTCTTACCAAATCTTGGCCCCGGCGGGTGGTATCTTCTTTGCTGGCCCCCTGACAGCGTGCGACGTTGTGTGGTATGGCTAGGTGGGACTGTGAGAAGAGAGGTGGACTTGGGTCCTTCTGGCACCGTGTTACGCCTCTTCACCGCAGCAGAGCTGGTCGGGGCTATGGTAGGGGGAAGATGACATGGAAAAATTAGATTCTGGGCAAAGCCAGGAACATACTAATGCAGTATCGTAATTCAATCGCAAGATATCAAAACATTAAGTTCAGCTGCAGTACCAAGGGAAGCCACTAGGGGCCCAAAATCTCATCACATCTAGTTTACGTCACACCCTACCAACACACCATGCATGAAACCAATCCATCCAGCCGTTCTTGAGTTATCTTGTTGACAAAATCTTATTCCCTAGTGAATGCATTCGAAGAATTTTTAGCACATTTCCAACTCAATCACAATACTATACCAACGGCTCTGCCCCTTAGGCGTCGCCAAAAATAAATGATTAATACAGCCAGTATTCAACTCCTGTGTCAGAAGCGTCTTACTCTACGCTTCTGAGACATGGCCTGTGACAGCAGAAGACATGAAGAGACTGGCACGGAGCGACAGGGCTAACTGAACAGCTACGTATGTGGCTTGGAGTCCGTAACATACAGGACACAGTCAGGTACAACAGACTTAGATGGTATGGCCACCTCCAGAGAATGGACAGGAAAAAATGGCCGAAGAGGATCCTCACACTGGATGTGGAGGGTCCAAACCCCCGTGGCCGCCCTAGAAGGAAATGGTACGACAACATACGGGAGGACCTCCACCACCTGAACTTAGATAAAATCAACCCACAGGACAGAGACAAGTGGCGTGCTGCCATCAAGCCCTAGTTGTACTGTGCAAGCACGTCTAACCCTCGGAAGACGGGGAACAACAGACGATAAACCGGACAGTGAGTGAGTGAGTGAGTATGTTACTTACAAGGCTGCTGAGTGGGAGGTGGTTCACACTTATAAGAGAGTTCCCTGAGTTTGTCCTCATCATCAATGATGGTGAGGTCGGCCAGGTATTGCTTCACCCGGCGAGCCATCATAGCCTGCAACAACATAATAATCAACATGTCAGTTCTTCTGTGCTGGTACAACAAAAATGTAGTAATCATAGTACAATGAATGGAATTATGGGTACAGAAGGATCAGATTTTCAATGACCACTGTCCTGCTGGCATTTTTTACACAATATTTTGAATTTAAAAAATTTTCATGTCGTAATCTGGTCATAAACCTGAATTTTGCCCTGCGGTGGCGTAGTTACTTCCACATTCGTTGCATTTCACTGCTGTGTGATGCGTTGCACAAGAAATATCCCCAAATCATACATAATTTTATACATAACGCTATATAGATGGTACTGCATGTGTAACCCACATATATATATATATATGGGCTCCACAGGACAACATGATGTTCTGTACCTCCTCGAAAACCTTTTTCGGGTTGGGCATGGTGGACGCTCGTCTGTCCTTCCACCTCCTGCCCATGGTGGAGATGTCGAACCTTGACCCCGTCATGGCTCCCAGCATGCCTGTGGACTGACGGTTGTTGGAGGTCGTGACCCCGCTGCTGCTCGAGCTACTCTCGTACATCGAGGCTTGGTCCTGAAGCAAGGAGAGACGATTATAACAACTTTAAAAGACAAAACGACAAGGTTGATATAGATTTCTGCAAAAGGAGAACACCACCAGTCTTTTTTTTTGTTTTCCATCACCAGTAAACTAATCTCCAAGCAGATCCCTTTTGGTGGCGAGACAGTATCCATTAGCCAGAGGAGTTTGCACGGCCACCGGTGGCTAATTGACACTGTTTTACTTTTCTTGACAATGGATACTGCCTTGCCACTGTATGATCTGCTTGGAGGTTACCAGTAAACTGCCTTTAGATGCAAGACACCAGTTTTGTTCGTTAAGAATAAGCTGCATAAGACCAGAAAGTTTGATACCCTCACACCGGGAAGGAGCCCTGGTCTTTTCGATAAGTGTGGTAAGATCTTTAACGTGCTTGAGGTGTGGCTCTCCTCAAACACGGGACCTTCTGCTTTACGTCCCATCCGAGAGGACGTCCCTAGCCAAGGCTAGGTACTCATTTTCACCTGAGTCGAGTGAGGAAATAGGTGCAAAGTGCCTTTCCCAAGGACACAACATTGGAGTCGATAGGGATTCGAACCCAGAATCTTCAGATTCTAAGTCAACATCTCTAAGCACAATCTTAACCACCTTGCCACCCACAAGTTGTACAATGAAGAAATGGCCATGCAGACAGGATAAAGTGCTTCCTATACACCGCACAGTGGCTACAGAGAGAGATACATGCATAATAGAACAGGGACAAGACTTCAGTCACAGTCAGTAGCTCTTCTTACAAACTGTAACTTCACAACGCGCAGGAGCTGTTTGAAAATATGTACGACTATCAAAATGTTTCTAAATTGTATATATCTACCAGTATTTCCCTATAGACTTATGACAATTTTCTTCAACAATCTAAAATGAAATAAGAAAAGCTCCTGAAATGTTGTGAGTCAACGCGACATTGGCTATACAACCAGTGTACATGTACATGTATGTGCCTGCCAGGGTAATATTACTGGTGACATGATTTCTAGATTTCTGGACAGGAATACTTCAGTCGGCTATAGTAGCTTTTATAGTGATTATATGTGTTTATGGTTCACACTGAGGAAGTTTGTTTCCTTTTGTGTTAAAATCAAAGATAATCCTTTTTAATTACAAATACCTGAATTACTGAAAACCTACATGTTTAAGGCATCCAATACAATTTCTGGGTGGCAAAACAAAAAAATATTTTGGATAAGAAAATCTGTCTGATATTGACATTTATTTTTTGCCATTCTTGGCAAATTATTGTCACCATTTTCTACTTGGAGCATTTGACAAAAAAGCTATATGAAGTGTCTCTTTATTTTATGCTACCAGCCTGCGATACAATTTTGATACCGTTTTTGCATAAGTGACAACGGATTTTTACATCTGGGATAGGATTGATTCAACTTACTACATGTACATTAAAACAACAACAAGTCTTGTCTCCCTGAAATTGCACTATTGGATGCCTCTAAGTTCTCTATCTAATAGTTTCAGTTTTTACTCTGACAGGCACACTAGTGGAGGTTACACCCAGTGCAGTGTGAGAGACAGTCACAAGGCCACCAGTGACGACTACCACCTAACATTGAGTCACCGTCTACGAAGTCTTGTCATCATCACCTGTGAGCTCACCACTGGTATAAGGGGAGCCATCATGGAGGCCCATGACGTCGATACAAGCGCACCCTTTGCTGTAGAACCCCCTCCGGCCATAAACTAGCAGAAACATCATCGAAACATAAAAACTCAGGAGGGGTGCAACTTTGGTCATGCATCTTGTCTGAACGTACTGATCACTACATGTACATAAACCACTGTGCTTAGATAATGAGATATATGTAAGAAAACAGGCTCTAGGGTACAACTTTAGACTTAACTATAGCAGTGAAGCAACTTAACATTTCCACCAGATTATACAGCCTATTTTACTTACTACTATACTAAGTACATAATGAAGAATTTTGAGTCAAATTTGAGGAGATACGTACATATGGAACAGAACACATCCTTTGAATGTGTCTGACTTCTTTTGCCACCATCCGTAACTTCTCGAAGTTGATCTGGAAAAAAAGAGATAAGAAAACAAGTTAAAATCATGAAAGTTTGCTCATGATAATACAATGAATGCCACACAAATTTTATCAATTACTTCTTGTTTTGAGAACCAACAAATCAAATTGGTGTGGCCTAATAATGCCACCAAATTGAATAGTCCAAGTTCTTTATTCACAACAATTTGTTTCACAAATTGGGCCAACATTTCAATGACCGTCTGTCATCTTCATTAGGACTAAATGATGAAACAAAAAGTCAGCTTATGTAAACCAGATGGTTGTGAATAAAGGACTTTGCTACTAGTATTCAATCATTAACTAACCTAATGAAATTACTCATAGATGAAAGCCAAGTTTGTGGTAAGGCCACACCAAGTAAATTTTATGGATGACGTCCTTTGGAGACCCTAAATCTAATGCGAGAGGGCGAAAAAAAACAAGAAGGGCCCTAAAAAACAACATGCCTAGATTAGAAACATACTAAGAGACGACAAATGTTAGGACACAAATTGAATGAGGTGACACAGTGTAACAAGCAAGAAGTCTTTTATTCATCATCAAAACAGCAATAAATCAGGTGGAACAGCAGTTGCCGTCCTGTCCTGTTTTCGCGTTACAGGTTTCACGTCAAATCTGACGATTTGCGGCACTGTCGTGACTCTTTGGTCATAGTTACAGGAATTGGAATTTCTTGTTTTTTTTTTTGTTTTTTCAATGCGCGCGCGGACGTCATCCATAAAATTTACTTGGTGTGGCCTAACACAACTTTCTTGTAAAGAGTCAGGTTGTACTCACCAGTCCATCTACTTTAGAGTCGTTGCCGAGGTGGATGAAGGTGAGATCTTTCTTGATGATGGGGAAGAGAGGAATGACCGGAGGATGAGCTGCTTCACTGTTCAACAGGTTTCTGTACTTGGACATGTTTCTTGAAGGATTTATTACATCTTCTAGATCCTGAAAAGGTAAAAAAAACAGCTATGTTTAATAGGGGTATTATGTAACATTTTTGCAGCAAAAATTGACGTGATGTTTTAGTTGAAAATAATATTTGTGTGATGAAAAATGTCCAGACTATGCATGTTGTTGTACAAAATGACTACTAAACTGGTGGAAGTACGAGCTACTATGTACCTTATAAGAACAAGAAATAGCCATGCCTTCAAGTACCTGTTATCAACCAAGGATTGAGGTGTTCAAAAACTCATTCCTTGCTCTAACTATCGCAGAGTGGAACTTGCTGCCACCAAGTACAGTAGGGGCATCATCACTAGATACAAAATGTAGCTTTAAACAATATTTATTTAAAGGTTAGGTGTAGAGAGGCGTTCAGTGTAATGTAGCTAGAATAGCCTGGCAGAATTGTAAGACGTACCTGAAACATTTTCTCATACTTGCTGGGCAGTTTGTCCCAGGTAGACTTTAGTCTGGCGACAGACCCGTGTCCAAGTCCACTGATGATGGCAAACATGGAGTTAAAGTTCTTAGACTCCTTACAGTATCCTGGAATAAAGGAAATAATGGGTAAAAATATGTCAGTGAAGGTTAGACATCCAGGTCATAATATATGCCAATAAACAGTTTACTTGAATCATATCCAGTTGCTTCATCATCATCATCATCGTTCATCCTTCGAAGAGGTGGAGCATACAAAGTTTGATCTCCAGAACTGCTTGTCGTTCATTGCTGAAATAAGTTCCAGGCCCTCCAAGCCTGTTTCAGTTGATATAAGTTTCTTAAGTGGGAATTCAAACTTGTATTCCCACTCCTTGTGTCCCTGTCCTTGGTGCTGAATGATACTCTGAACAGTTTTTAGTATTAACTATGATCTATACTTCCCACATTCTGAGTGGTGCAGGCATGAAGACAAAAGTATTTCAAGCCCTGACTTGGTTATGAAAACAAACACCCACTCTGTGTGTCCCTGTCCTTGGTGCTGAATGATACTTACTTGCAATTTTGATGAACTGTTTGATGGTCTTCATCCTTTTCCACAGGTTCTCCTGACTGCAGACCTCGGTGATCACCCAGAACATCTCCTGGTTCACCAGCTAAAGAAAGGACATGTTTAAGTTAACAGACTATGTCTGCCATGAGTATACACTAGTATCAGAACAACAATGAGAACAATATCTTACAATCTTACAATTGTTTCAGTTGGGAATGAATAATTTGTCTCTCTCGGTAACTTGTGCTTGCATGATGCTGGAAGTGTGTTTAGGAGAGCACATTCGGCGGTGTGTACTCTGGGTGTACCGGAAGAAGGCTAAGCTCATCTATTTATTGACCATCTGAAAAGTCCTCTCTTATTCCAGCTAGTGTGATGATATTCGTGTCTCCTCTCCTCCAAAAACATGCTAATTCCGCCATTTTTTCTAACTATAAACTTTCACATCTGTTTAGGTCAATGCGTACGCATAATAATGCCATACAGAGCCAAATTTGTAACCAATGAAGGAATACATAAACGTATTTTAAGAAAGGTTACCTCTGAAAAGGTCTCCAGGTTGACTGTGCCCCTTTTACTGTCCAGCTTGAACAAATCCTCCACATACTCAGTCACATCTATTGAAGCATAAACCTGTAATTGAGGAAATGATCAAAGTCAGCAAAAGAAAAAAACATACTCAACAGTTTTACAGCAGGTAGGCAGTCAGCAACCATCAATTCTAGTTTTCTTTTTCTAAAAAGGGAATTTATAAATTCATGGTCAATGAGTCATGTCTCTACCTATCCATTTTATCGTCTGTTGTTCCCTGTAACCAAGGGTTAGACATGTTTGCACTCTGATGCTGGGGCTTGATGGTAGCTTGCCAGTTGCCTCTATCCTGTGGTTCTAGGGCACAGCAAATGTCAATCATCAACTTATCAATTTTGTAAAAAATGAATATGTCTTACCTGGAAGTCTCTTAGCGTGACTTGTGTGGCGACTTCAGCACTTTTCAGCTGTAAGAACGTCACCTGGCTGTCTCGTAACAACTCCTGAAACAGTTAAGTTCATGCATGAAACCTTCTGTTTCTTATGTTTAGCTTTTCAGAAGAAAAAAAAACTATTTTAGCTCCATTTCTTCTTCTTCCTTTTCTTCTTCTTTCATTCCAAACAAATTAAGTCAATGACGTGGACCATACTTCTGTCACCATGGTAACTGGTACTGTAGCAGACACCCTGTGGTGTTGGATTACATTATGTAGCAAGTGGCAGGACTAGAGCTGAATGTGTTTGAGTAAGAATTAACTAAACTGAAGCTAAACCAAATTGAAGGTTAACATTATGCAATTATTGTTTTACCAAGACCAGAAAGCTTACGTCCCAAATTTAGGATATTAACACAGGATCTCAGCATGTATGTACACGTAAAACTTGCAGAAAAGCAATTCTATATCACTGCAGAGACAAATAAATGTGGGAGAACTAATAATTGAAAGCCTTACCACTGCTGTTTCATCTGGCACTAGTGTTTCGGTGGTCATGTTGTCTTTGAGGTAATATCTGTGAAAACAGAAAAGGCATTTAAAACACAAGCTTCAAAATTACATTCCTCATGACTAGTTAGGCAAAAAAATATTTTCTTACTGTAATGTAAATTTAATAGTTAGGCAAAGTTGTGCCACAACCATTTCCCATTTGATTATATATATTAATGTGCTGTCAATACACACTGCCATAAATGGCATTGCTCACTTTAGTAAAGCTGACCACAAAAAGGCGAGGTATTGCCAAATGCTCCGGGGAATTCCACAAGAAAATGTCTTTAATGGATTGTAACAAAGAGGTCCGATTTACGCCATTCTTCCAGGCTACGCTCAGAAGCACATCCATGGCAGTTTGAGGTCACTAGCCTTTATAATGCTTTTATAGCCAGTTAGTACATGTACATGTATGCTTGGAGTCGTTCAATGCAATTTTAGGGCGGCAAAACTGGATTTTCAATTTCAAAAAGTCAATTTACTGGTCATTCTTTTAATGTAGCTCACTTTTTGGTCAAAAACAGTGGACGATTGAAGCTCTTTAGTGAGCTATAACTGGATCGTGATCACTTTCCTATTCCCTGCATTAAGTTGAGTCAACCCAAACCCATAGCCTACTGATATCTGTGAGGCAAAAATACAACGTCACTGACAGAAAACAGTGGGCTTGATTTGCATTGTACGCTAGTTGTATGATGTCCATAGTGTCTGTTTTTTCTGTTATGACCAGTGGAAGATTTAAGCTCATTAGTGAGATAAAACTGGATTGACATCACTTTCCTTTTCTGTTTTTGAGGTTTATGGAGCTTTCATCAGTCATTTCTTCCATTCACTGATGATTCAGGTTAATTCTGTCACACAAGTTAGGGCCATTTCAAATGCTTCAGGTACGAAATGGGATTCGAACCAAGCTTTTAGGTAGGATTTTTTTTGAGGGGGTCCTTTTTTATTTTGCTGCCATGTCAGTGCGCGCCGTAGGCGCGCGGCGAGCGCCGCAGGCGCGAGGGGCGAGCGCCGCAGGCGCGAGCATTGTAGGGGGTCCGGGGGCATTCCCCCCCGGAAAATTTAAATTCTTAACTCTCTGAAACGCTATTTCCTGCATTTTCAGGTACAAAATCTATGTTCTTCAGGTAATATATTTTTGTGTGTCTGCTGCAATATTTTTGCCTAATTGATGTATATCTGTGTTTAGTCCACAACCACACATCTGCAGATCATACCAAAGAACATACTTAAAGAACAACTTGATATCAAACCAATGCAGAAGACATTCAAGCCTGAACTTCCAGATACATCTTCCATATGTTTATATTTCTGTTTTAACAATATGGTTTGTTTTTACAAAAATAATACTTAAAGAACAACTTGATATCAAACCAATGCAGAAGACATTCAAGCCTGAACTTACAGATACATCTTCCATATGTTTATATTTCTGTTTAACAATATGGTTTGTTTTTACAAAAATAATACTTAAAGAACAACTTGATATCAAACCAATGCAGAAGACATTCAAGCCTGAACTTACAGATACATCTTCCATATGTTTATATTTCTGTTTAACAATATGGTTTGTTTTTACAAAAATAATACTTAAAGAACAACTTGATATCAAACCAATGCAGAAGACATTCAAGCCTGAACTTACAAATACATCTTCCATATGTTTATATTTCTGTTTAACAATATGGTTTGTTTTTACAAAAATAATACTTAAAGAACAACTTGATATCAAACCAATGCAGAAGACATTCAAGCCTGAACTTACAGATACATCTTCCATATGTTTATATTTCTGTTTAACAATATGGTTTGTTTTTACAAAAATAATACTTAAAGAACAACTTGATATCAAACCAATGCAGAAGTACATTCAAGCCTGAACTTACAGATACATCTTCCATATGTTTATATTTCTGTTTAACAATATGGTTTGTTTTTACAAAAATAATACTTAAAGAACAACTTGATATCAAACCAATGCAGAAGACATTCAAGCCTGAACTTACAGATACATCTTCCATATGTTTATATTATATGTATATGGTTTGTTCTAACAAAAAAATGCATCTTTTTGTATGTACTATCTTTGACAAGTAGTGAAGACCAGTAATGAAGACAACAGACAAGTAGTCAAGATTGTTCAGTCACTTATTAAGCTGTATGTTCTAACATGTAAACCTAGTTATACAGCTTTAAAACTAAGTTCAAGTACACTTGAAAACAAGACTAGTTCTGTACACTTCAGCACACTGAAGGTAAACTGTACAGATTACTACAGAACTATCATGTAATCTAACCCTACTTGTTACAAGTTCTTTCTTTGATATAAAGTGTTACATGATGTAACACTTTATATCAAAGAAAGAACTTGTAACAAGTAGGGTTAGGTTACATGCTAATGCTAATACAAGTTAATACAACACTACCACTAGTGTACTACTGTCCACTGACAGTGTCCAATTCTAAAACTAAAGGCGCCTGGGGCCTCCAGGTAGATGTCCCTGGCTCCCACAAAGTCAAACTGTGCCATGGGAATCTTCGCATAACTGAGCCGGATCAGCCTGTCCAGCTGGTCGATGCCGAGGAGAGCGCGTGTTTTGGTCTTGATCCTGTTCTGACAGGAAAACACGCGCTCTGCCTCGGCATTACTGACAAGCACCACCAAGCAACAAGACATGAGCTTGAACACTTCTGGAAAAATACATAGAGAACAAAATGAACACAAAGCTACTATCACATAATTCACATTCTAATAGAAAGTTTACAGTATTAACAGATCGACCAAGTTGTCATTTTCACTGACCTCCAAAGATCTCTCTGTTTCCAGCGTTGTCCCCTGCAAACATCTTAGTGAGTAGTTCAGTTGGACGGTAGTGATGAAAGTATGGCAATCCGTTGTCATCCATCCGCTCCTCCCCTCTGAAACGGACAGCTACCGCCTGCTTAAAGGCCCCAAACTGGCCTTCACAGATATAGCGGTCAATGTATGCAGCGCATACATTGCCGTCTCTGGTCTGCTTGGCCTCAGCGTAGTGGTTGAGAAGGGTATTGAGGTCTTCCCTCCCCCAATATGCCAAGGCCACGTTGTTCTGAACTGGATTATCTGGATAGGATGCTGGTTCAAAAACCTGCAAGAAGCAAACGGCAGTGCCAGTTAGCGAGGCTTAAGTAACTAATTCCAGACTGTAAATTTCACACAATGTAGAAATAAACATTTGTTGCATGGTAACTTGCTATGAACTGAATTTGTATGGGTATTTTTCAGATTTTTACCTTCATAGCATCCAGGAGGTCTACTTGGGGGAACCTCGCTCGCAGATTTTCCAGAAGGCGGTCCAGGAGCTGGCCCTTGACAGCATCCAGGGTCTGCACTGGATCCTGTACACCACGGCCTGCCCGCATGATGATGGCCACTTCCTTGTAGTGGCCATTCTCCTGAACACTGGTTTTGAACCGTTCTAGCTTAGGGCCATCTACCTCCCTCATGGTCTCGAGGCAGGAAAAGCACTCTGTGAGCTGAAATGTGAAATAAAAGCACACAGTCAGATTTTCTTCTATTTTTAGCATTAGTATTAACTCATGAAATAAATCTTGTTCTTGTCTATTAATCTTATTCTTATTTATTCTTGTCTATTATTCTTATCTATTCTTTTTACCTGTGCTCTGAGTGCTGAAAAGGTCAGGTCTCTGTACTGAAATATCCGGGATAAGTGATTCGTGGCATCCAGCACATCCGCCAGAAGGTGGAGCAAAGCCATAGGGAGAAAGCTTGTCAGCTGCTGGTTGATCCCAATGGCGCTGGGGTCACCTGCTGCCGCCTGCTCCTCCGTGTGCAGGGCCAGGGTCCTGTAGTTCTGCAAGACGCTCTTGACTGCCTCGCCCATACTCAGCCACCGGATTTCATAGGAGTGTTTGAGCTTCAGGTAGTCCTCTCCTAGGACGTCCACCTGATAACAAAACATGGAATTTGATAAACTTTGATAGTTTAGGTACTGCATATAGAAATATCCTTTTTATTTTGTTTTTGGAATTAAATATTCATTCAATTGTGTCATATCTTACCAGAGCCTTGAACTCTGCAAGCCTGTTGGGTGACATCATAATGTAATTGTATATGCTGTCAACCAGCAGGCTGGTGATCTTGATGTGTTGGACGTTCTTTGCAGCTTGTGACACTGCCAGATGGAGCCGGTGGCACACGCAGTGGACAGCCACTGCGAAGGGGTTGTCCCGGTGAAGCAGGCCCGTGACGCCATTGATGTCGCTGGACATCACTGCCGCTCCATCCATCCCAAGTCCCAGTACCTAGTCAGCACAAACATGCAACATAATGTTCAAAATCAATGCACAGCCATTCATTGAAGACATACTAAACAATGCTACCAAAAATGTTTTGTTTTTCTTAGTTGGTGGACAAATTTTCTTACATAGACTCACTTTTCTTAGCGGAATGTTGTAGTGTTGGAGGACGTCCAGCGTTGTTTGGTAAATGGTGACTGCTTTGCCGTCATTCACCTTTGCACACCTCAAGAATGTCGTGACCAGCTCTCCTGTGTGCACACGTATGTAACGAATTACAAGAACAACGTGTTTCTCTTGGCTCCTGTCGGTAGACTCATCTATGCCGATCGCAATGAAGGGGCTTGCGTGGATCTCCCTGGTGACTCTCCGTTCCACCACTTCGTTGAGGGACCTGACCAGGTTGTTGAAGGTGGTGGGGCTGGTGTGTGTGGCATTGCGGCCAGCATTCAGATCAATCACGGCAGCCACGCCCTGCTGCCTCTGCAGCTCCAGAAGACTTCAGAAAAAAAAAAAACAGTCAGTCACAGATCTCGAATCGAGAGGCAGACCATGCAACCAGAAGATCGTGTTACATCTTCATTTGACAAAAAAACTGTCATTAATTTTAAAAAAGGTACCTACTCGTATTTTCTATTGGCCACCTCCTCTGTTACTATCCAGTAAGCTGTCTGCAGCGCAGCCTCCACAGCATTGTTCCTCTTGCGCTCGGATGTCTTCAGGCCTCTGATCACAGGTGGCTGATTGGCGTCCCTAGCAGCCACTGATGCCTTGTGGGCAGGTGTGGGCAAGTGTCTTTTTATTGTCGACCTCCTAAACAAGAAATATGACAAAATGATAAATGAAATAAGTCAATACAAGCAGCTGAAGCCTGAAGGCTGAAGGTAAGTGAAAAGAGTGAAAAAAACATGAAATAGTTTAAAAGAGTCAAGTTCAGTTACAACTTGAAATACATGTTTTATTAAGTATTGCACGGTTTGCACCTGAAATTCCTGGTCCCTGTAGCCCATACGGTGTTCCGCCTCTGCTCCTTACACCACTTGCACCACATTGAGTCGCCATCATATACCAACCACTCCTTGTACTTGTCGTTGGACAGCCATTTCTCAGAGAACTTCTTCTTAGTTGTCTTAGTTTTCCTCTTTGCCTTCTTCTTTCTCTTCTTTCTTGGAGGAGCCGCTTCACTCCTATCACTCTCTGATGAAGAGGTGTCAGAGTCAGACTCAGATGTAGATCTGGACTCCTGGTCAGCCGTGGTAGGCTCTGCTTCAGGGTCAGGGCCTGGGGACTCCTGGTCAGCCGTGGCAGGGCCTGGGGACTCCTGGTTAGCCGTGGTAGGCTCTGCTTCAGGGTCAGGGCCTGGGGACTCCTGGTCAGCCGTGGCAGGGCGTGGGGACTCCTGGTCAGCCGTGGTAGGCTCTGCTTCATCAGGGCCTGGGGACTCCTGGTCAGCCGTGGTAGTAAAATAGTGTTAGACTTGGGTAACCAAAATAAGACCTTGTTGACATCACACTTCAAAGCAGGACTTAAGAAGTCAGGTGACAAGCCTCTGAAAAAAGCTCTAAATGAGAAACAAAGTCTTTGTGTTGGATCAAAAGATTTAAGTTGAAATTTACTAACCAATTTCGATAACCTTTAAAATTTTTGTGTGCGACACTTAGCTGTCAGCACAATGTTGTACATGTTTTGTATGGTGTATCACTATTAGCTATGTTTTTTTTAAATATACAATGCTATGTGTACTGTTATATGCTAATATGCATATATTTATGTGTTTGTGATGGCTTTCTGACATTTAAATCCGTTGAAAATTCATAAAACTTACCTGATTACCCTTCCTGAAGAAGCTGGAGATCGTTCTCTGTCCCTTTCCTCTTTTCCTCATTGTTTACAGTAACTTTGTATCTTGGAAAAAAAGTTTGTAAAAAGTCCTTATTTATATGTAACCTTCAAATTATCAACAACAAATATGTAAATAGTGGCAATTTATTATAGTGTTTCCACTCAAAAAGCATCCATTTATCGATCTTTTAAATTTACATGAGTCCTATCATTCAAAAGAACCGTGCTCATTTCTAGTAATAATGACCTAGTTTCGACCTTGGTCCCGCTATTTTGTGCGCAGATTCGCCCCCCTCCCCTCTACAGTTCTCGACGATTGCATCGGGCTGCGGTTTTATTTGTTACATTTTCCCCCTGTACACCGACAGTTATTGCCACCAAACAAAGAAACAAAAAATACTCCGAAATGCCTCCGACATACTGCAATAGTTCTCAGACTGTATGCCACTATTGTAAATATTGACAGAAGTTTAAAACTTACCGGCGTTGTTTTCCCGCGAAAAGAGTTTAGAGCCGTCAGATATTCCACCAATAGCAGCGCTACGCCATGCCGCGTCATGGAAAATCGACCAATACCACGGGAGTCTCGCGATTCGCGAGATTTTAGATCGCGAGATTTGCCGAGGTTTTCATAGTTGGAAAAACATGGCGGCGGTAACCGGAGGGGCGAAGCTGCAGGACTCGGCGAGTTTTCATCGCATTCAGCGAAGTTACCGGGAAAACAGGGATGGAAACTTAGGACTGCAAAGCCGCTGGACTCGGCGAGTTTTTATCGCATTCAGCGAAGTTACCGGGAAAACAAGGGATGGAAAACTTAGGGCGTTTGTAGGGCGTCTTGCCGAATATAGTGCGTCCAATTTTTTATTTTCTCTAGAACAGTGCGTCCAAAAGACGCATGGACGCATGCCTAGCTAAAAGCCTGATTCGAACCCAGAACCTTCAGATGCTGAGTCAACAACCCTAACCACAAGACCACCTTGCCACCATGTTGGGGGTTGATGGCGCTATCATTTACTGTACATTGCATCTGTCTTCTCTGTCACGACCAGTGGAAGATTTGCATTCTGCTCAATGAGCTAAAGCTGGATCAAGATCACTTTCCTTTCCACCCATGTAAGAGGTTGGTAAAGATTACATCAGATTATGGAGGTTTCATCCGAGTCTTACCTTCCGTTGAGGTTGATCCTGTCACACAGGTTGGTGAGGGTGTCGGGAAGTCTCCTCTGCTTGATCAGTCCCTCCGCGCCGACCGTCACCTCACACAGCGAGAAGTTCTCGCTGCAATCATACCAACTTCTGTGAGCAGACGTGAGAAAAAACATGTAACGTGCGGGGTGAGGACGCCACGGGTGGAAGACGTGCAGATTTTAGTGGGTTAGAGAGGGTGTGGGAAGGCACTGGGACACACAGAGGATGTACATTGTACATGTACTGTGAAGTACTACTGTACTAATAATGTTATTTAGCATTTGAATGGTTTAGTTAGTAGACAGTGAACAGGGCTCGAAATACTGGATGCATATGTGCATGTTAGTGCAGGTAAAATTAGGGCTGTACAAGTACATGTATTTCTGATCAGATGTCTACATGTACAATGTACATGTACCTGCACCTAACCCACACTGGTCCATGTACTGGGTATATGCAGGTTAATGCTGGTAAAATTGGAGCTGGGCAGGTATTTCTGATGTCTACCTGCACTGGTTCATGTACTGGGTTAATATACAATAGGTGTATGTGGATTTTTTGTGATCGTAATTTATCTGTATACTAACTTGCATATGCTGGTGGGATTTCGAGCCCTGAATACACGGTGAGGACAAAAACATGCTTTATCTTAAGATGTTAACAAGTTGTGCTGTTATTTCTTCCAACAAATCCTTTACCTCTCAGTATCCAGGATCCCGAACTCTCGTAAAGCAAACTGTACAACTTCCTTGGATGAAGTATCCTGGAACAGACACAAAAAAGGGAAAAGAAAAATTATCAACTTTTTGATACAACATACATGTACAAAAATGTATATTACAAGATTCAGTCTGTATTCTAATCTGTATTTACTGAGGACCATTGTGACAACAATGAGGACATTATTTCAATTCTCAATTTGGGATAAGAAACTGAAAAATGTGTATCTCAACTTAAAAGCAGAGACTAGTTTTGCCTTCTTTTCCTAACATATACATGTACTAAAGAACTACAACAAGGATGCCCAATAAACCAAAATAATCCAATCACTAAGCAGCAATGTCTTGTTGTGAATTTCTGATAGTAATGTACATACAACATTGTGTACTGGTATACGCATCTGTATGTTACAACATACATGTATCCTATACATTGTCATTCTGTTTACAAAATACAGCAACATCCTGATAAAGTATGTATCTATTTGCTGGCAACTAGTGACAGGAGTGGTGAACACAGAACTCAGGAAGATACAAGAAGTTGAATTCACTTAAAAGTACTTAGTTGTAGTTCCTTGACATTTTTTTTAATAGAGTGGTTCAATGCAAGGCCTATACGACCACTTCTCGGCATTGAACTAGATATATGAGAGAAACACAGCTATGTCAAGAGATGGCGCTGGACGTTTGATTTGAAAGCCTGTAGATAGTAGGTTGGTGGGAAACACTTGTCAGGGAGGGAATAAAATGTAATATTATATACATGTACATTTGTACATACTATTCTTTTGTTGTGACCTGTACTTAACCCAGTGGGTACATTTGTACATGTATGTGTGTACAATAAAGATCATTCATTCATGAATGTCCCACCTTATTGACCAGAATGTACTTGCAGGTCTGGTCTGCGCGGTACACCTTAACAGCCTGGTCGTTACACTCGTACTGGTTGGGTGCGTCGATGTAGTTATGACTGGCCACCAGGTCAGGGTTACTGGAGCTGAGGAACATGGAGTTGGGCAGGCTGGAGGCACTCGCTCGCTTTGTCATGTACACACTGTCGTCTTTACTCTGGTTCAGGTGGGTTTCACTGGAAAACGATGGTGGAAATTTATAAGGAGGTTTTGTCACAGTTTAGATTTGGGAAGACTGGGGTGGGAAATGGTTAAACAATAGGGGAATGTTATAAGGAAGTTTGACTGGCAAGTTTGACTGGCTAGTTTGAGGCACTAGCATGTTTCGTCATGTACACACTGTCGTCTTTACTCTGGTTCAGGTGGGTTTCACTGGAAAACGATGGAGGAATGTTGTGAGGAAGTTTTGTGGAGATGTGGAGGGTCCAAACCCCTGTGTTCGCCGTAGGAGGAAATGGTTTGACAACATACGGGAGGACCTCCACCACCTGAACTTGGACAAGATCAACCCACAGGACAGAGACAAGTGGCGAGCTGCCATCAAGCCCTAGTTGTACTGTGCAAGCACGTCTAACCCTCGGAAGACGTGGAACAACAGACAATATACAAGACAGTGAGAGTGTGAGTGAAGTTTTGTCACTTTAGATCTAGGGACACTGGGGTGGGAAATGGTCAAACAATGGGGGAATGTTATGAGGAAGTTTGGCTGGAGGCACTGGCTCGCTTTGTCATGTACACACTGTTGTCTTTACTCTGGTTGAGGTGGGTTTCACTGGGCGGGAATCCCAGAACAATGAATGTGAAAGATCAGTACAATTCAGTCCCCCTGTCAAGGGCTTCTGCGATACTGTACCTCTTGGAAGTTCAATGAATCAGTCATATAATGTGGGAACGTTATAAGTACGTTTAAATTAGATCTGGGGACATGTGACTTGTACACATTGTCGTCCTTACCCTGGTTCAGGGGGGTTTCACTGCATTGGGAAATGGCATAACAATGTGAGAACTTCAAACAAGTGTTTGAGCTGTTGGCAGGTGCAGAAAAAAGAAAGTCGACTAATCATTTGTTAAGGGCAATATGTTTGCGGTACAGAGGTGTCAGCTAAAACGTGGATTACAGTAACACTTTGGAGTGGGAAATCTTCTACAACAAAAAGGACACACCCATGTACAACACCTACCTGTTGTATAAGGAGGGTTTAGTGTTGGGTAAGATGGACCTCATGATGGCCTTCATCTTCTGCCGGTGTCCCAGCGTCCCGAAGCCGCGCTTCTTCTCCTTGTTACTGTGTCCGTCCGGGCGGAACCCGGTGATGTCCGGCGCCGACGCCCGCCCGTGCCCGTGCGTGTCGTTCACGATCTTGGGAACGTGAGACGGGGAGGAGCTGCTGCCTTTGGTCTCAGGGTTAGCCAACATTTCTTTAAAACCTGGAAGATTATTGTCACAAATTTTGCACACATTATGAACGCTGATTCATACATGGCTGTAACCAGCAACTTTTCAAAACATGCATCATAGATACATGTACGTCGGTGAAGGTTATACATCTAGGTAATAAGATATGGCAAAAAACAGTTCCTCAAGCAACTGGAAATGATTTCCAAAATCATATCCAGTAGCTTGAGTAACAGTTTTCTGGCACGTGCGTCATAGACTTTCTTTATTTTAACATAGACACAGGTTTGTTCATTTACAAATGTAGAATGTCCCATAAATTACACTTTTTTCCTCGAGTGATACAAAATACACTGCGAAGTATTCTAGATAATATATTACATCCTTTGCTATTTTTCAGAAGTGTGGAGAAGGCTGACACTTACCTAGCAGATTACTCTTGACAGTAATAGACAGGTGTGTGTTTCCCCGCAACACCTCCAGAGCCTTCTTGTGTGAAATGTTCTGGAAATTTTGCCCGTTGACTTCTAAGATCTGGTCCCCTCGTTTCAAGCCCAAGTCCTCGGCTTTCGAAGCCTTCTCCACCTTGAACGAATGAATGAATGATCTTTATTGCTCGACAGTTGGTACATGGTACAATGCATGGCAATGCATACAATCCAGCCCAGAAAAGAACAAGAAACAGTCATGCCTTCAAATATCAGAGTTATCAACCAAGAATTGAGGTATTCAAAAACTTGTATTTCCCCAAAACTATCGTAGACTGGAACTCGTTGCCACCAAGCACAGTTGGGGCATCATCACTAGAAAGCTTTAAACAACTCCTGCAATCAAATGTGCAAAGATCGAGTGTAACAAGTCGTTCAATGTGATATAGCTAGCTGCCGCCGTGCCGCGTGCCTGCGAAGCTGGTGTGTTACGCCAAAGGGCTATACCGGCTATACCGATACAGATAGAGAAGGTTGTCATTTTACTTTCCATACATGTACTAGTCTATTCCTAGAAACTACAACTAAATCATGCTTATTTCTTACGACAGGATTTTTATCTTTCTAGGGGAAAGGTCCAGTGTAGAAAATATTCCCATACCCCCATATTTTCTTTCCTGCCAGTTTTTGTCGGATAAAATATGAACGGAAATGGTGTATTGACATGATGTACATTACATAATTCTGTCTGTCACAATTCTTTCTCTCTTTTCTAAAGCGTAACATACCTTTGATATGAAGATGCCGCTCCCCGTCTCACACCCTCCCAGTACTGAGAAGTGCAGAACCGAGTCCTTCTGAGGTCTCGCCTAAAATCGGCAATGATAAAAGCCAGGAATTAGCAAAACAAGATTCATAGTCTTAGAGACACCTGATTTTAACAAGCTACAGATCTCGATTGACTGCCAAACAACCTGGTTTTAACCATGTTTTTATTTCTCATGCAAACGTCAGTGGTTATTTGAGATCTGTTAAGTACTTGCTGCAAAATCAGTGTAATCTTATGGTTTCTAAGAAATAAAACATTGGCATTACAGGAGACACAATTATTGTCCAAATTTTGTCTATCAGTTGCAAGTACTAGTCAGAAATTTATGTTAATAATATGCAAAACAAGATCTTGTTCTAGATCATGGGTCCCAGAATACTGTGCTTTAGTTAAAAACTCACCAGAGTGACGGTTCTTGTCTTAGCCTTAGCAGCACAAGCAATATTCAGCAACCTCAACTGGCCTCCCATTTTCTGTCACAACAAACAAACAAACAAAAGCATACAAATCGACATTCATTTTATGTTTATTGTGTTCGTTACACATTTTGTACTGTTACTTCAACCTGTATTTTGTATGTTTCATGTTCTTGAGCAAAGGATCTTATAAGCACATGTGTGTTTCCTATCTGACGCTCACAAATCCATGTGAATAAATAAAATAACTTCCATTCTAGTGAGCTAAGAATCTTACAAGCATGTGTTTGCTATCCAATGCTCATAAATCCATGTGGATAAATAAAAAAAAATCGCCTCTCGTTCTAGTGAGCAAAGGATCTAAGCACATTCGTGTTTGCTATCTAATGCTCATAAATGTGGATGGATTTTTTACAAAATTCTCACCTCTCGTTCTAGAAGGCCTTCAAACCTCTCCAGGAAGTCAGTCATTACGGGGTAGCCTTCGAAGTCACAGAAGTGGTTGTTGACCCACAGAAGCACAACTCTCGTTACCTGCAGATCGAGCAGAGGAGATACTCCAACAAGTCAGTACGTCATTCATGAAGAGCATTTTTAGTAATTTCAGGGCACGTCAGTGAAGGTTAGACATCCAGGTATTATATATCGTAATAAGATATGCCAAAAAACAGTTGCTCGAGCAACTGGATATGATTTTTGGAAACGTTTTAAATCTTTCCAAGTCTTTATCTTTATGGTCATGGATGTTGGAGAAGGATCCAGGTGGAACTTGTCACTGCCGACCTTTTCAGAGCTGAAGCCTTGTAAGAGTGGATTAGCCATCACGCTATTCTCTTATGTCAAGGACACTTCCTACCCTCAATTTCTCACCTTCAAAACCTGACCTTCAGGGTTAGAAATACTAGGTACATATGCACCAAAATTGGAGCTGTGCACCCCAGCTAGATGTTTGGAAAATACCTTAATTACACTGTACTTCTACTATTGTTGTTCTAATGTTGTTGCTATTCTATGGAAAACTTTGTCATTGATATACTACAGGATTGAAATTTCAGCATTAGAATTTATGTTCAGAAAAGTTTGGTTATTTGGTATTGAAAATATTCTGACATGAATTAAGCATGTATAAACAGATGAAGGTAGGAGTAATCATACATGTGTGTAATAAGAAAACATAAAAAAAATATAATTATCAGTGAAGTCGTTACCTTGTCCCTTAATGAAGGGTCATTGAACCAGTTGAGTAGTTTGGTCCCCACGACGACAGGACTCTCCAGAAAAACCCTGTACGTCAGCAGGAAGTCTTCTACGTAGGTCGGGTCGATCACAGAATGTTCCTCTACAAGGTGCTGTATTAGTCTATCAGGGGTACCCTGGAAAAAAAGAAAACACAATAAAATCATTCAGTCAAAAAAGCAAGGGTAGATGTTAGATGAACTGCTGGACGTGTACCTAAATTTGCAAAGAAGACCAGTCACTAACTGTTTTTCTCCATCCCAATTTTTTCTTCCATCAACGTACAGTATCTTGCTCAAGCTGATCACTTGTCTAATGCTACCACGACCAGCCCAATCCCTGCCCATGATCCCTAGATCATTTTAATATGTGTTCTTTTTATCTCTAAAATACGATTTAAGTTCTTTTGGGTAGGTTTATCAAACTCCAGGCAAAAAATGGGAGGGATACAAAATTCCAGATAATACTATAATAATAGAAAATACAACGTGGAATTACAGCACTTCCCACAGAAATGCAAACCACGTCCCCGTGACGTGGAATGTAGCCTTTCTATTTCACACCTACTTAACTCCAAATCGCTAGAAGCGACCCAATAATAGCACAACCCGAAACTGTCTCTAATTTCCTTTGGAAGGATGCGAATATGCTCACACATCCTGGCCGCCATGTCTGCAGGGCTATGATTAGTGCTGTGCTGCTATGTATAATGTGTAGCTTCCTGTTATTGAGAGGACAGACACTAGTCACTCAGGCAAAGCAGCTAGCAGCAACCAAGAAGTTACAGAGTACAGTGTGTATTAAACAGGATAGTGCTGTGTACCGGTTTGCTGGAACTAGTTCCGGTCCAAGATGAAAAGTAAAATATGCATGTCTCTCACATGAATTAGTATGGTTAAGTGTGTTCATAAGATTCAAAATTATACAACAAAGGCCAGCTTCACTGGGCTTTCATTAGCATTTTGAATCATCGTTTCTTTTTTTAGTCCTCTGAAAATATGACCAAAGTCATCTGTGAATAGTTTCATCAGGTTGGTAAGTCACTGAGTAAAGAGACTCTTTTTACACAACCAATTGTTTTATTCAAAGCCGATGTTCCAGTAACCGTCTGTCAGGACAATTCTGACTGGTACACATTGCGCTGCTATAAATGCATTGCCAAATGTACAATATTTACATATATACACATAAATATTGTAAAAACTTGGTTGTGTTAAAAGAGTCTCTTTACTCAGTGACCAAAGTCATTCCTGTTCTTACCTTGATTACGATGTGTCCCTTCCTGTTTCCCCCGTCCAGCTCTCGGTGTTCTGTAACCATGACAACCTCCCCCTCCTCCTCCACCCGTCTGGTGTTCACCTCTCCCTGGTGCAGGATTCTGTAGTAGTCGTTCTGCGTGATACACACAAACTGGAACAGCAAGACAGTCGGTTATTTGTTTATTCTACTACTCGTAAGCAAAGATTCATTGCTGTAGTAATTTCAGGGCGGCAAAACTAAAAATATTCTGGATGAGGAAATCTGTCTGATATTGATATTTACTGCCATTTCTTAACACTATCAGACTGAGTATGCTATGGGACAATAAAAGAATGACCAAAAAATTGATTTTGAAAATCCAGTTTTACCACCCCGAAATTGCCCTTAAAAAGTAACTTTCCATGAAAAATTGATAGATGCAATTTCTAACTTACGACGGATATAAAACAGCCAAGGGAAACCAAATTAAGAGGTAATTGAGGATGATTTGCCTCTTTGTCCTTTGCTGTTCTTTCAGGCAGTTTCATTTGACACATCAGAAAACATGTACAACCTTTCCTTGGTAATGTCTGTTGTTTCAAAAGGCTGCATTAGGCCTTTATGCATGCAGCTCTCTTAGGGTGTCAAAGATTTGCCTCTCCAATCGCCTCTGCCAATGAGCAAATGAGGCTAAATGTCCTTTAATGTCCTTTGAAGTCACTTACTGTAGCTGATCGCTTTTGATTCGAAGATCCTTGATCTGTTGATCTTCCTTCAGATCATCCTTCACAATGTACATGTAAACACTTGAATGCTTCATATCATATAGGCTTTGATCAACATTTGAACCCACATTAGTGTACTTTGAAAGATTTGATCTTTCTGCGAATGTGAAAGACGTTTTAGGGAGCTTCTTTATGTTTCAGGCTTTTCAGAGCTCACAGATCTTCAAAGATGAGTCAAAATTACAATGAGAAAGATTCAGCAGGTGTTATCAGCGATGATGCTGCCTTTCAAGTTTCAAGTTCTGTTGACATGATGTTGTGCTAGTACTTTCCATCAACATCATGTCAACAGAACTCTGGAAGATTTGACCAATCTCATTAATGTTATGCTATAGGTATTGGTGCGCCAGCCACTTTCATCTTATGTTTATGTTATACTTTATGTCATCTTTATGTTTACTTTTGTATTATGTTTCATGAGCAACGGATTCACATAAGCACAACAAGTGCTTCCTATCCAATGCTCAAAAATCCATGTGAATAAAATAAAATAAAAAATAAAATAAAACCTGAAAGAAAGCTTCATCGCGGATAACTCCAATAAAATCAAAACAAAAATGTGAGGACAGAAAAACAAAATTTTCTTCCAGCTAAAGTCAAGTGTAAAAGCTCTTACCTGACAGTCGTCTACTTTAGTTCTCATGACACCCTTGTGGTACTGTTTTCCCATGGTGGGAGAGATCCCGAAGCTATCCCCGAGGTGCAGCTCTTCTACAGCCGCGTCTGTGTGCTCGATTTCCACATGACCGTTCAGTATCACCGACCAGGAGTCCAGCTGATGGAAAAATAAATACACATAAGAACAATGTACATACAACACTGGACCCAGTACAAGTACATTTGTGAAGTACAACATGTACTTTTACAAGTTTGAGTCTTTGACTGATTTTGAGGCCGAAAAATCATGCATATCTGTAGATAACCATATTAATATGAAAGGAGATTAAGATGCTCCTTCAAATGACATGAAAAATTTCACTATACATTCTGTAGATACAAATATAAAATACATGTAGCACAGGTATTTTGTGCAACTAAGATGCCCTTCAATTTATGAAATACATGTATATCTAAGCCTCTATCATAAGATAACACATTATTGTATACCTACAGACAGACGTAGTCTCAGTCCAACTATACCATTATAGAGCTACAGGTACCTAGTATGTTATACGCTATGCTTTTATACCTTAGATTTCAGTACTAGACGCTTGCCTCTTTACTTGGTTTCCTTGTGGATATACTCTGTGATGTCAATGTGCGTCAGTAACTATCTGTTTATATACAGAGTCTACATTTTGTACCTCACACTCTCAGTCAGACTTCTAACATTAGAAACAGCAGGAAACCATGACCAACGTTTAGGATGTGGTTCTACTAACAGTTTCTCCCCGCTGCCAACGCAATTCTGACTCATACATGTATAAACTTGGTGTGAACGCAGCAGGGAAAGATTGAGTGTCTAGACTAGGTGTGTCTTTTTATATAGGTTTGTCACCACTTTTCAAACTGGGGAAATCTTAGACTGATTCTTACTACCGGTAAGACGTAATTTGATTTGTTGGTTCTTGGATCTTTCCAGAAAAAATGTGAAGCAACAGGACAAAAAAAAAACAGACCTAGGCATCCTATAATAACCCCAAATGCTATGATAGGAGCCATGGAGTCAACATATCTGGTTTGTAATTTAAACAATGAATTTCAAGCTTTTAGTGAAACCACTGCATTGATAGATGGAAAAACTGTACAGTAACAACTCTGAAAAGATGGTATTTCCTTCAACTGTTGGGGCCAAACTATGAGCATTTTGGAGTTGATTCAGAGGCTGAAATGTTGTTTTTTTTTGTTGCAAATCAGAAAAAAAGTGAAGCAGGCAAATACGTGAACCAACATATCAAATTGGTGTGACCTTTGAATACTACATGTACATTAAAAGACTGACCAGATGTCTTGAAAAGTATACCCTTGGTACTTTAGGAACTATAAGTTAACATTTCTCACCTCTTCCCCGTCATTTAGCACCACAGTCCCTGCCTTCTCTACTACAGCCAGCACCATACATGCACACAGGGCACGGCGCACTGCTAACGTCATGTTGGCAAACGCTGGCAGATGCTGCATGAACTCCAGCAGGGATTCTGGAAAATCATGATCACCCGATTTTAATCTTTAGTTCTAAGGACAAATTTTGCATTCTAAAAAACAGAAGCAATACTATATGACTGGATCACACACACCTACAACAAGTGCTTTAGATTAGGCACATTTTTAGCTTAGCAATGACATTATACTTGACAACCATGTAATCCTCAGGATACTAACTGTCACTTCACTAATAATCTCCACTTACCAATGTCGTCATCTGTTCTTTCTGAGGGGTCCTTTTCTAAACAGTCCCGTACAACATCTCGAACAAGAAGACACTGGAAAAAAGTTACAGGTACATTATTAATGTTAGGGACACAGCTCTATGGTATAGAAATAATACAATGACTTTATAGCACAACAATGGTACAGGGTACATTATTTGTAGATAGAAAGTATGGCATCTACATCTGTACTAGTGCTAGTACATAACTACACTTTCATAAGGCTAACCTAACTAAATACAAGAGTGGGTAGCTAGTATGGGAAAGGAATGAGCTTTTAAAATCACTGGAGAATACATGTACAATGTATGACTATAATAACTGTTTTGGTTTGGAATAGGAAATGAAACTTGCTACTTATTACTCCTCCTCCTCTATGAAATTAATATTTTATCAAACAAGTTACAAAATTTCTGTGCAAAAGTTAAAGCTAAATCAGTACAAGATGTTCCAAGTACGAGTAAGTTTAACAGCAAACCTGAGCTGTATTTACATTTTATGTACGCCATAATGAAGTGTGTAATGTATCAAGTCAGAGTCATTTTAGCCTGCTTCATATCACTTTGGGGCAACGCTCATAAATCTCCAGTGAACTAAATTGAATTCCTTCATTTTTAATCACAGTTTCGGAGCAAGAATTGCTTTACAAAATGCTCAGACCTATGAAAAGCCACCCGTGTGCAGCCATGCGTTCTTCACCCCATTGAACCATCCTTGTCCTATCTTAATGGAATCTTTCAGAGCCACATTTTACCAGCGCCTCAGGCAAGTGCACCCAGCCTTGGGGTTCAGCATGAAGCCTCACAGGGCTAGCACGTCGGCAGAACGTACTGCACCTGTGATAAACCTGTAATGTACTGTGCATAGCACTTTGGCAGAACGTCTCATCTAGCAGTGTTTTAGCCCGACAGAAATTTTTTTCCATCATCCCAATTTTGATTGACGTGACATCATGTTGAGTGATGACAATTCTAGGGGGGATCTGGGAAAAGTTTGATATCATGTACACTGAGCCACCATCACATATAAAACGAATGAAATACATCACTGCATCAAAGACAAAATGCTAAATCAGAGCCTTGTCTTGTCTCTTCTCTAACTTCATATTTATTTGCCATCCACGTTCCGGCATGGCACCATTTTTGGCATGTTGATCACTGTCAGACTCAGAGGGTTACAAATTTTTTTTTCCCAAAATCAGGCGAAAATTAATGCGCGTGTTGATATCATCCATAAAAATTACATGCTGTGGAGTAAGGTACACATGCACCCAGTATTTGGAGCCCTGAGATTCACCTCAGAAGACTGGCTCATGCCGTCCTCTTCATCATCCGAGTCCACCACACTCTCCTGCAGGCCGCTCAGGTCCAGCTCCACGCTCTCCGACCGCGTCAGGTTGTCGGAGAAGCTGCTGCCGGAGTCGCTGCTGCGCGAGCAGATAGACCCCCCGCGGTGCAGCTTCAGCTCCGTCTGCACCAGCAGGTTCTGCACCTGCTGCAGCTCTGCTGGCAGCTGAGAAACAAACAGGGTTAGAGATGGAAGTTCATCTGTGTTGGTAGCTACAATGTACCAGCACATGTTTAAAGTTAAAACTGGTTCCAACAGCTGCCACACAAATGGGGTTAGTATGAAGTAAAGACTAAACTTTCCTTCCAACACTGGAATGAATTGACTGACTCTTTCAACCTTGTTCGTGTAATGAACACATATACACTCAATACTAAGTCTCGTTCCATCTAGGATGCTGTCCTTACCTCATTTTCCTCCTGTGAAGAATGGGAGCCTCGAGCTCGCGCCTTTTTCTCCTCCTGTTCTGTGGTGAGAAGTTTCTCTAGATTCATGGTCGCGTATGACGTCCGGAGCCCTGGCCGCATTAACTGGACATCAGGATAGTCAATCTGCAGGGAGTACAACAAGACAATTCACATTATAATAGATAGAATTTCAATATATAGTGCTAGAATGTAGTATTGTTAGTGTTGAACTGTTCGGAGCCCTGGCCGCATTAACTGGACATCAGGATAGTCAATCTGTAGGGATGACAAGGGAATTCACATTATGTAATTATAAGCTTTAATGTTCCAAAATTATACTTCACAGAACTATTGAATTATACTATTTCGAACCAGTGTTAATCAATACATTTCACACATAGAGAGAGAGTGAGAGAGAATGAGAGAGTGAGAAAGAGTGAGTGAGAGAGAAAGAGAGTGAAAGAGTCACTAATGATACCTGTGAGTAGTAAAAGCTACTTGAAACATCAGTGACCGTTTTCAAAGTCTATCTAGTTGCTTGAGTCACTGTTTTCTTACGTATCTCATTACCTCAATGTCTAAGCTTTAAGGATGTATGTGTTGTAGAGAAGGGCAAGGCCACTTACATAATATACAAAAGTAGCAAAACCTTCTTGAAGCCCTTAGATTTCAAAAGGAAAACACAGCATCATACATACACATTTACTCACCTACGCACGCACACACTCAGCCAGACTGTGTGTAACCATCCACCCACTCAGTATATACATATATGTAACTAGAGTTCCCCGATCTCATACCTTCGCCAAATGATGTTAATCTTTATGACTGACAAATTATAGATTAGATTATTCCCCCCTGATTTAAGAAATAGGAACCTTATTTTCATAAATTATATCATTTTATCATAATCTCAACCAAAAGACAGTCTTATATTAACAAACAATGCATTCTAGCATTTCCTTATTAACTATGCAAATGAGGTCCTGATTTGAATAAATTATGTTTAATGATGTTCACCTCAATTTAACTTTAAAATAGCACAAGTATGAAATTCCAGGCAGTTATCATTAAATAATTATAAAATTTTCTCATTAATTATGCAAATTAAGTCATTATTAACATAATCAATATCTTCCTGTGTTTCTCTCGTTGTCAATTACCAATGTCACAAGCTTCAATTGTCCTATCATGGAATGCAGCTGATTTATAAAATTTCCCCATAAATTATGCAAATTACATCCATATTTGCATAATTGTCACATAATTATATTAAGCATCACGTAAGCTACCTACATACCAAAAATCAAGACGATCCGTCAACCGGTTCTTGAGTTATCCCCTTTTGAATATTTTCAAGAATATATCCCTGCAGTTCCAGAGCAAGCCGCTAGGGGGCCTAAACTCACGCCACTTCTTCCCGAGCACAAGAGCTACCTACCATCTAAATTTCATCACCATAGCATGTCTAGATCATGAGATATCAAAACCGGAAGTTCAGCTGCAGTACCATAACAAGCCTCTAGGGGGTCCAAAATCTAATCATTTTGAGGTCTCATCAAGACCTACCCACCTACCAAGTATCAAGACAATCCATCAAGGCCTTCTCAAGTTATCGTGTTTACAGACAGACACACACACACACACACACATACACGAACGCCCCTGAAAACATAACCTTCTTGGCGAAGGTAACAAAACCTGGCATGTATGAAGCTCTAGTAAGCCTTTCATTTACATAGCGTTCTCTGCTGGCCTTATGGACACGATTTGGGTCAGCAGAAAGTTACGTAAAGTGCTAACATCATTGAAGGTTAGACATCTAGGTAGAACATTTATGTTAATCAAGCAACTGGGTAGATTCTTGGAACACCCAGATGTTTCAGGAAGCATAATTTTCAGTCACTGATGAAAGCCAATGCTATCTGAAACATCTGCCTCTTCCCAGAATTTACCCAGTAACAGTTGCTTGATTTAATTCACATTAGGCAATTCTACATGAATTGTGCACCTTTGTAAGAAAAAAAATTACAACATGTCAAGTTTGCCATCCATTCATACATGTGCTCTCTTTGACTCTCTGCCTGCCACAGAAGCTCTATTACTAACTGAAACAAATTCAATCTGTCCAAATTGTGTGTACAATTTGCAGACTGTTGGTTAGAGTAATTTGTAGTGATGACAATTTTGTGGTAAAATGTAATCCCTGCAGCATGGCCTGATCAATTTGCTAGCTGCAAAGTGAGGGTAAATTGCAGAGTGAATTCAGACGGCTGCATTTGTACATATTACATGTACATGTATACCAGTGGCAGGGGAAATGCCTGTAAATTGTGTAATGTATAAATTACAGTAGAAAGTAGTGATGCATTCCTAAACCCAATTTTAGGTTCAGGTCCGGATTCAAGTCCAGAGGTTTAGGTTCAGGTCCGGACCTAAACCCATGACATACACAAAATTGCATGTTGGCAACCTTGCAATGTTGTCTGGGTATAATTTTGGCCACATAACATGGAGGCCGACACTTGACGATGCCTGATGGCAATGTTTTCTTCGTTTTGCAACAAAGATTTTACAATTTACAGAAGGTTTTAGGTGGTTTGGGAAGAAAAGGGGTATGTAAAATGGTCTTTTATGGTAATAAGTCCGGACTCGGTTCTTGACTTTTAGGTTTTTTTGGACTTGAACCTAAACATTCTTACAAGTCCGGATCCAAGTCCAGTGAACCGGTATGCATCACTAGTAGATAGTGTTGATATGAATCTCTGTACTGTATATGTCAGGGCAAACTTCGATTGGATACAATTAGGAGCCAAAGGGAATCTACAACAAGACAAGGTAGCAACAAAATACATAATTTACATCTATAGGCACACATGTACACCTACAAAGAGTATTGAAAACTCTAAAGGCAAATGGTTTACAGTACATTATCCTTCTGTAGCCTTCCAATGCTCACTGAGGCCAAAATTTTTCCAGGAAAAAATGATTGTATGTCTGATTCTGCAGACATATTGTTGGTATGTTGGTAACAACTTGAAGAAATTCTTTTTCCATGCACAGAAAACAATGGATCTTTCGACTACACACAAGATTCTGGTTGGCCTTCGCTTTGAATGTGTTTTTCAACATATCTTATAGTGGATCGTACAGAAATTCTGACTAGGTATGATCATATACATTGTACAGTCATCTCACTATTCCATTCTGTACTGAGTGACCCTATAGTTTATTTCTGGTGAATATTTCACAAATGTAGCCTCCAACGTTTATAAATATCCCGTCCGTGAAGCAGAGAGGCTGCCCTACACACATGATTGAGCGACTGACAATCCTTTCAGCAAGTATCTGATCTAGAAGACTGGCCTGATCCCTCTCATCCAGCCAAGGTGACTTCCAAACAATCCATTCCTGCTGCAATGACAGAAAGTCAATAGGAAGACACTTCACATTCAAACTGGGGCTTATATAACCTTTTTGGACGGGGCATCACACTCGGTCTGCCATCGATCGGGAAAGTCCTTTCTTTTTCTAATATCTCGGGATGGTTGACCAGGCTCTCTCAGCACACTGCTGGAATTTTAATCTGAAAGTTCATCCAGTAAACCCCTAACAGACCATCACTGTTATCTTAACAAGTCTTATAAGTAATTACTGTAACACCTATTAACACCTTGTATAATTATGTAATAAATGTACTTCCGTTAAGAGTACTTACAGTAATACTACGATGTTCATGTCCTGTCACAAAATTATTTGTGCCTTTGCTTTTGTTACTAGGGCTAGTAGTTTGCAGTAAGGTAGCCCTGACTCTAAAATAAGGGAGATGAAAACCTAAACTACAACAAGAACCCTTCATAAGTTCATCATAGTCATTGTATGCACCACTATATCACCCACTTACTCACACACTCACTGTCCAGTTTAACGTATCAATTCTATGGCAACATGATTTCTTTTATATCAGCTTTAATGATATCATTACGATTTTGCAAAACTGTAACTCCTGAATAACCCTGAATGTTGAGTAGTTTACTATGCATCCATGGCACAGAAAGTAATATGAGCTGGATGGTTGTAGTGCCTGTTATGTGGTCATGCCCACTTGCCCTACACCCTGACCCGGCTTGGCCCTCTACATCAGGACATCAATCACAGCAGGACAAAATGAAATTGCGACCCAAAGATCCACCTCTTCTGGTGATGTGTGGGTCAGCATACCAACCCAGGGTTCTCACCACAATTTTTCTCACAGCTTGGGGTCAGGTACAGAAGGACAACTTTATGCGGCACAAGATGAGCATTGAGTCCCTGACATCAGTATAATCGCCCTTCGGTGTAACTCACCAGCTTCGCAGACACACTGCACGGCTGCAGCTCAGGCTACATTACACCAACGACTTGTTACACCTAACCCTTGAACATCCAACTCTAGACATTGTTTAAAGCTATCTAATGACAATGCCCCTACTAGTGTGAACTTTCACTCTTGCAGATATTTCGAGCCTTGATTGTTAGCAACAATTATGATGAAGCAACAGTGTCAGATAAAGTGTCGGCTTGTCCCGGCTTCAATAAATTCATCCGAAATTTTCCCATCAGAATGATTTGCTGCGGGTAATCTACGTCACACCATGCAGGACACGGTAGCTATTACTGTCACTCCCACACGCGCTGACAAATTAAAGGCCAGGAAGGTATAACAGGTGAAAAAGGAGGTAGAAACGTAGTCCTGAATTGGTAATAAACGTATCCATACCTGATATATAGTGTGCGTAGTCACACGTCGCGACTACCTCCATGCTTGTGCATTGTGATCATTCTTGCATATCCTGTATCTATCTAGGGACGCTGATTTCATACGACAAATTACCTGACAAATTTGAACAGCCATGCATGCAAAACTGGATTCCATACGTAACTGCATTTCATGAGCTAACTTTACACAATATGCTTCATAGGTGGTAAACTCGTAACATTCAATTCAGGAAATAAAAATTCACACATGTACCAGTATATATAAACCCAGTAAATGGATCAACTCCCCATACTGCTACCTTGCCACTGTGGGGAGGTATTTCAAAAAGAAACAGACTTGCAGGTTAGGTACAGGTAGACATCAGCACAGCTCCAATTTCACCTGC